CATAAAGACACCATTTTCTCATTCGTCTTCCCCCTATTTTTCTTCAAACCCTCACGGCGGTTCGCAAGACTCAGAAGTAACTTCATTTCACCTGTCCATTTGCGAGGATGAGTACTTGAAGAGAATGGTTCCCGTTACGCCAGACGCGACCAGGCGCTATGAGCCAAAGGCTGCACCGTATGTGTTTCATAGGCTGGAGTTTAATCGGTACTAATCTGCTTATACTTAACAGCGACGTTGTTAACAAAAAACCCATTCCAAGACTAACTCGGACATTCCAAAGGTTTGATGCCACCCACCCACCTTCCTCCCCGTGCCTTATCGACCAATTGAGTAGTGAAATGCCCTCCACGGGTCATGGATGGAGTCTTTTCAGACATCCCGAAGGCGCGTGCTATTTCTACCACAAAGGCAAGGTACGTAATCCGACGACGCTATTAGCTTTACGAATGGTTCAAAAAAACGTTATATTAGAACGTGTTTACCGATTCCGACGTGAATAATACCGGAATTCGAGAAGAAATTACCGCTGCGCTGGACTCCATCGAACGATATGTCAGAAACCAGCATATCCTTCTCCCAGAAGGAGCACCGCTGGTCATTGATCTAGACCTCCAGTTGGACTCCGAAGAACCCGAAAGCATTTTTTACTATTATTATGTGGATCATGAAGCAAAAGCGATCTTTTTCCTTCATCCATTTGACACTTCAAGTCTACCGGCATTCGAAGAAGCCCCGCGAAGTACTACTGAACTCCACCGCGGTGCGTTCTATGGCATCTGCGATGCTGATTTTTCTCATTTTTCTTGTGCAGGGAACGAGATTGAAGCTCAGTACTGGTATAGTTCCTGTTTTCGCCTTGTGTCCAAAATCCTAAATGGTCAAATCCTTTCAGGTACTTCGTACAGTTGTTCCCAACATCTACAAAACTATCAGAAGAATTTCTTTCCAAACTGGCTGATACTTGTATCTATTGGCTTGCAGGTACGTCAGGCCTTGGAGAAGATAAGCCTGTTAAATGCTGGTCTTGCGTGTTCCCATAGATGTCTCGACATCGCCCACTTCAACGACACCATACACGCCACGGGCCATGAGCGAAATTCTGCAATTGGTGGGCCCGATGGAAAGTGAGCAGTTCAGAGAAGCGTCACGAACTTCCGCCTCCTGATCTATGATGAACCAGAAATGAAAAATTCAATCTGTCCTGGATCTATGGCAGCGCTGGGTATACCCTTCCCTACTTCCGTAACATGGTATCTAACTGCTTTCTTGGTCCAGCACGTCACATGTATATGTTCGGTACGCATGCATGCCAATAGATGATTCCCTGCTGATGCCTTTACCCCTCTCTACCAGCCCATACGCGATTTATTCACTATCACGGAGAGCCCCATGCGCGGCTGGATAGGACTGCCACTGTCCACTGTACAATGCTGTACCAAAGGACATGGCTGATCAGGATAATCTCTCCATTCCTCTTCTTCGGCCCCGACTTTCACCTCAGGCTTTTGCAGGATGCATGGGTCGATAAAATAATACATGCGGACGTCTGGGTCAAGATCACTGCGAAGATGCAGAAAGAATGGATCGGACTCATCGCCTATGTGAGTGCTCCATCTTTCGTCGATACTAGCCGTAGACGCTGACATCGAGCCCAGAGTGCCCTCATGCTAGCATGTGGAGTCTCCTTCTTAACCATCCCAGGGGTTGTCCCAGATGGCGGTGATGGGCCCGGTCGTACAATGTCCCAGATTGTGCGACTCTTTTCCTACTTGTCGACAATCTCGAGCTTCACAAGCACAATCCTGGGCTGTCTCTTGCATAGGCACCATCAAACGAGCGTCAGCGATGCCGCCCCGGAGGCGGTGAGTAAACATTTGGGCCATTTTCCCCAGATATTCTTATAATCTCTCAGCAACAATACCTCAATGATCAAGAGAACAAGTACGTAGGATTGGAGCTGTTGGCTATACAGCACAGTTTGCCTCACGCCTTTTTGATGTGGAGGTATGTAACGCTCAGGCTCCACGCCTTGTCCATGTTAATGCAAAGACCCATACAGTGTCATATTCTTCCTGGCGGCGTTCTCCGCATTTTGCTTCTCAAGCAAAGAGATTGCCTCCATCACGGCCGTCGCGTTATAGGGATCTGTATGCTGTGCCTTTGTCGCCGCGACCATCTACCGAGTCTGGGACAAGGGCCCAAGGAAGGAAGGAAGGAAGGAAGACGGTGTGGACTGCCCTGAACTACCCTTCAGCATGCCAGGCGCCGGAAGATCAGCAGACGAGACCAGCAGTCTTCGAGGATCAATACGGTCTCTGGCCGTGAGGACGCGGTCTTCGTTCTCCCCAAGCCCGAGCATCTCGGTTCAGAGTCCAGATGATAGCAACCGCGATATAGAGATGAACGCGTTCAATAACGATGCAGCTCCAACATCCAATCGGCTATTAGCAGTACCCAACAGGGTGCCGAGCCGCCGCTAGGGAGAGACCATCGGCAGGAGAGATGCTTTGGAGATGGTTAAATATTGTCTGCTATCTCCTCTGACCAGCACGGACTATAATTTCAAGAAGGTATCCGAATTACTTGGTTGTGATATAATATATTTTTGTGTAAATATCAGTATTCAAAGTCAGATCAGTACTTTACACTAACACTAGTCCGCATCGACTCCAGGAGCTCAAGTGGACCAACGGGCCGAAGCAACTGACTCCGAAACATTCCAGTTTACTCGACTTTACATCCAGTCACATATCCAGGCCGTCAGACCATCGCGCATCTCGACTCAATCCAATACGGAATTCATGTTACGACGACTCGGAGGAAGTTCTGGCGTTCTCGCTGGACGATTCTTTCGGCCACAAAGTTTTTTCTCGTCCGCTGCACCGCGATTCGCCGATCCATGGCCTCTCCCGCATACGCCAGAGCATGTAGCCTCCACCGTCACGCCTTCTGACAGTAATCCAATTCCTCCTCTTCCAAGACATAACGAGTCCGTGGATACACTTCGTGCGAGGCTTGTGTATCAATCTCGCAAGCGGGGGACGCTGGAGAGTGACCTGCTCCTGAGTACCTTCGCGAAGGACCATCTACCTTCCATGTCGGAAGAGGAGCTCAAGGAGTACGACAAAGTGCGTCTATGTCTTCCCGTCGCGTGGAGTATCTCTCTGACGGTGCTACGTGGTGCAGCTGCTCGATGAAGCCGACTGGGACATCTACTATTGGGCTACCGGAAAACGTACTCCATCGCAGCGTTGGGCTGACTCGCCCTTGCTGGAAACACTCAGGGTACACGCACGGAATGAAGGAAAGGTCGTTCGCAAGATGCCCCCTCTGTGACCGTATGTGTCCGGCGGATTTGGTTGTGGGTTGGAACATCGAGCCGTTGGGGAGGAAATTTCAGAAGGTCATGGTATTTCAGGTGAAATCGTATCGTTCGTCTGTTATACTGCTATAAAATGTGACATCGACTTATTGCATGAACTTGTAATCTAGGGTTTCTTTCAGGAAGAGTCGTCGGTTCACGAAGCACCAGCCGACTTTCAACCAACCTGCTGTGGTTGGGCGTATGGATAAACTCTTGTTGGATGCCAGGTTTCGCCACCGCCAGTCATTTTATGGATTTTATAGCCCTCCGACCTTTAGTTAGCTCAATATTTGTCAACGAAGGCAGACAAATACTAGAGGCCAGGTGAAATATTGTATGTTAGCGGCCGACATAAGACAACGTGGCAGCGTACGACCTTGGTTCCAACTGTTTCGTCTAGACCTTCATCGAATGCCTTTACACAAGCTGTGGAACATGTCTACAGAACAGCTGGGAACCAGTCTCATCGTACCACCGCGTTTCCTTCCAGCTGAATTGCGTTCAAGTTGACCCAAGTGACGCTAGCGGCGATTTTCGGCGTCGCATCAGTTTCGCTGCTTTCCATTCTTCGACCCAGCTGAATTTGGTTTCATGCAGTCGAGGTAACGCCCCACACCTGTTGTCCTAAGTGTTGGATAAAGTAATTACTGATCCTCCAGGTTCGAAAAGACCTGTAGTCAATGTTCAACTCCTGGTCACATATCTTCCTCCTCTGGAAAAGGATACTCGCGGTAGCATCGGATTTCACCTCAGCGACAGCAGCTAAGCGGGCGGGGCTGAAGTGGGTCGCGTTAATCCACGAACCTGCATCATTGAGAATTCGACATCAGAAACATATTATCTACAAACGACACACCCTATACTTAGTGCCATCTGGACAAAAGCCACTCAGCGCGCCCGCTACCTCCCGTATTTTCTGCTGGGTGCAACACCCATTGAAGAAGGTATTTTATCCTGTATTCAAAAAGAATTGCCGTTACTCATAGGTTCAAACGAAAGGAGAAGAAGGGGCAGGGTAATCTGTCAGGCCTTCAACCAACGACGCGTAAGCATCGAAAGATGACGACGTCCAGGTTGTCCTCATGAGCGACTGTTCCTGATCAAGGTTGGGAATCGTGTCGACCCGTATGTGCGATATTTGCGGACCAGAAAGCAAACACCTGTCGCGGAGGGCCAATGAACTCAGGCTATCAAATTCACCATGAAAGGGCGCCGTACTTAGTTCGATAACAATCAGCCCCGAGCCCGAGTCTAAAAAAAAGTTCGTTGAAAGACGTACCCTTGTTGTCCAGGGATGGTCGAGGCAGTGGCTGTTCTGTCAGAAAGAAGGTTAAGGTCAAAACTCTTCTGCAAAACGACCTTAATTTCTCTCCAAGGAACTTGCGTCTATCACCTAGTCGATTAAGCATTAAAACTAAAATATGAACATAAATAATCGGTAGCATAGAATGAGAAGCTCAAATCAAAGTTCCCGCTTTGACTGGAGCTTTTCGTCGTATCTCCGAAGGAGCAGTCGTTCGACCCATCCATTGCTCGGATAGGGCTTGTCCCACTGGTTATGCAGATGGACACCAAAGATCTTCTGGAGAGTTTGGTCCAATCCACTCCCTTCTTCAAGGCCGAGGCCGAACGTCCATTTTCCTGCCTTGTTGTCCGGTGTGAAAGGATCTGGGAGGCGGTTGTCCAGTCGGCATGACCGGCCGTCGCTGAAACAGAAGGGAAGGATCTTGAAGGGAGGAATGGACGCTGCAAGGAGCCGCCGCCAGAGCTTGAAGTACAGCAAAGCACCCCAGTCTGTTGAGCCGGATCGTGGAGGAGGAGAGATAGTCATGATGTGGAAGGCTTCGCACAGGTAGGGCGAGTGTTTCCGGAAGCGCATCAGGGCACCATTGAGAGGAAGGTAAATTTTGTCTGAGGAAGAAGATTAAGGTCTGAGAGCCATAAAAAAAAACAACGAAATCCACACCGTAACAATCCCACTGCGTAACAAACTCGTGCTCCATGAGAGGCTCAAGGTCGCGTGTGAGCAGTGAATCCATGTCGACCCAAATGCCTCCATAATTCCATAACAGAAGCAGCCGGATGAGGTCTCCGTCGACCCAAGCCTTCGCGTCTTTCCTCGTCAACAGTTCGCTGCCATCCAGCTCGGTGCCTTTTGCAAGGGCCGGAATGTCCACAATCTTTAAGGCAAAGGCATCTGGGTACCGTATGAGATATGTCTGCAGTATTGGATTGGGGCTGAGGTCTCCGTTGGACCACAGGATCAAGCGACTCGAGGTAAGGTCTTGCGTCGCGAAAAAGGACTTGATCATCCATTCTTGCCGTGGTCCGAAGGGTGCGAGGTCGCTTCTCCAGTAGGTATGGTATTGGGTGCGTTCGTCTGCTGGGATATGTGCATGGTTGGTGCGGGATGTAGACTTGATAGTTCCAGCGAAGTCGTAGCAATCCAAACCCATCCTCATCGGTATCCCTGCTTGTACTTCGGTCTTCTTGGGTCCATATACGAATTGTGAGACGTTGTAGCTTGGACTGACGCGGTGTTCCTCGAAGCACTTGGATAGAGGCACAACGGGTTCAATCTCCTTGTGCACCCACGTCCGGTCGTAGAACGCTAGTTCAATGTGCGGCTCGTATAGATAAAAGCCGACTAGCAGGAGTAGGGATGAGACTGGTAGCGCGTACTTGAAAAACGCGAAAATAGTTCGTGGCTTAATGAGGAATCGTGTGTTCGTGGTCGTTCCATTTCGTGTCCTGAGAGGCGGTGAGGTGGAGCCAGATGATGGGGTTGGAGAAGGTGGAGAAGAGACTAATGAGCGCTGGCGAAACGAGGATTTGAAAGACGCGTACATGGGGAGGCGCTCATAGTCGCCTCGAGCCATCTGTTCGTCGAGTGCGACGGGTTCAAAATCCCAACGTTTGACTCCGTGCCTTCGGGACCTGTCAGCAACGAAATCACAAGCTTTAGGACTGCCCTCCTAGGTCTCATGAGCAATTTGCGACGTACCTCTGTTGTGACTGTTGTGGTTGAAGGTCAACCTTTTGCGTAACACGGCGGATTCTTCTTTGTTCTGTACCACCACCATCAATCACAACGCCACATTTTCTCTACTTATATTCATTGAATGCTCCAGCTGCCGTGATCCCTGTCCTCTTCACTAGCTCTGGGAGTACGGGCGCAACAGTTCAAAGAACCTCTCCGATGCTGGGGATTGATAAGTACACTGACTGCGGTCGCTTGAACTTTTCCCTCGAGTGTTGAAGAACCAGCTCCTGCGTTTCAAGTTCCCGTGGACCATGCTATCCGCTGCTCGCAAGTCTTTCTCACCTTTTTTCACCTCCCTTTTTCCGCAGTTCTTCTCCGCTTCTCTCGCTCGTCGACGCGTTCTTTTGGCGCGCTTATACAAGCTGAGAAGGGCGAAATGCTGGTTGATAAGCCAAGTCGCATTCTGAGAGTTTTGCTGGACTTCTCCAGGTCGTCTCCCCCTCTCGTGGGCTATTCTTACCTTCACCGACTCGTATATGCTAATTAAAGCTTACGTTTGTCAAGCTCAGGCGGCCTGAGTGTGCTTCGAGATGCGACGGACTTGTCGTTGTCGTAATATTTCCGCGCTTAGCTCGCACAATTTGGTGAAAGTACGTTCAATTGTCATTTTCAATTATCAGCTAATAGCAGGGAAGTAGATCTTTAGTTCTGAAAGGATCATTCAGCATGACACGCGCTACCGCCAATGAAAGGCTAACACAGACTTCGAAGCAGCCGAGACGAGATGCCCTCAGGAAGACTGGAAAGCACGAGTCATTCCAGCCTAATGAGCGCATATAAGAATCGACAACGAACCGACACGAAGGCCAACAGTCTCCCTTCCCTGCCCCCTTATCATAAATCGGACAACACAACCCACAAAACATGGCACCAGTGACCAACGGACGCGTACTCTTCACCTCTGTCCCCTCTGGTCTGTCCTTTACCCCTTAATAGCAAACCCACTAACTTCCAACAACCCAATAATCCACACAGGCCTCCCCATCCCTGGCCAGTCGACCATCTACGACACCTCTGAGCTCATCGACCCGGACAACGTGCCGCTGGACGGCGGCTTCCTCCTGAAGACACTAGAGCTTTCTATTGAGCCATACATGACCACCATGATGCGCGGGCCAGGGGGAAAGTACCTGCCTGCGTACGAAATTGGGAAACCGTAAGTGCACTCAGAATCGTTCAAGAGCTGTTGGATCGTATGTTGAACCGCAGATTCTCGTAGGACGACAGGTCCAGGCGTCGCCATGGTCGTGCGCTCGGAGCACGCGGATGTGAAAGCTGGCGAGCACCTTCTGGGCCTCGTAGGTGCGTCCTCTCTCTCCTATTCGAGATGGAGGTCCTCTCATGATCGATGGCACTGCACCAGAGCATGTACAATATGCGGTCCGGAAAGACCTTGATAATTCCCAAGTCATCGACAACAAGTACCACCTCTCTTGGTCAACGTTCACAGGCGTGTTGGGGGTTCCTGGTGCGTTTGTCTGCATCTGCGTCTTGTTTTTCAGCATGCTGACACGCGGAATCTACCTAGGGAGAACGGCATACATGGGATGGAAGGGATATTCACATGCAAAGGCGGTAGGGATTCTACTATATGCCTCTTGGCCCCTCAGCCCGTCTTGACCCCCCATTCTCTAGGGCCAGGTCGTGTTTGTATCGGTCGGTGCGGGATGCGTTGGCTCGTGAGTTGTGCTCAATCCGCTTAAGTATTCCTTAGTCTAACTGCCATGCACCACTGTAGGCTTGTTATCCAACTCGCGAAGGCAGACGGCCTCAAGGTCATTGCCTCTACAGGCTCGGATGAGTAAGTGCAATTTATGAAGGACCTCGGGGCGGACATCGCCTTCAACTATAAGGTCTCGAATACCGGGGAGGTTTTGAAGAGGGAAGGCCCCATCGACATGTACGTACGGAATATCTGGCTTCGTGATTACGAAGCCTAAAGCCGGACGCAGATACTGGGATAACGCGGGTGGAGAGACGCTCGAAGCTGCTCTCGACAACGCCAGTAATTACGCTCGGTTTATTGTAAGTGTCTCGAGCTGTTTCCTAACGAGCGAGCGAACAACTAGGAATGCGGCATGATCTCTGGGTACAATACAGGAGGTGCCCCCGTCCGTGTACGTCCCATCTTTTCGTCTCTCCCTTCCTCCCTCTTCCTTATCGATCTTGCTTTCACTCCCCGGATAGAACCTCCTCAATGTGGTCTCCAAGTCGATAACCATGACTGGCTTCGTAGTGTATGGGCTCTATGCCAAGTACACTGCCGCTTTCTACGCGGAGGTCATGTCGAAGTTCGCCAAGGGGGAGATCAAGCATCGCGAGCACGTTTATGATGGGTTGGAGCGGGCCGGGGAGGCGATTCGGGCTGTTCACACTGGTGAGAATAAGGGGAAGGCAGTTGTGCATGTCGCGGACGATTAGGTGTGAATGTAGAAGACGAAGTGTGTGCCCGCACTTTGAGATTGCGCCGCCGACAGCAGTGTACACCGCTTGCACGAATCTTGTACTGATGTCATTGCATTCGATTGAATACAGAAGTATGGCCATTTGGCGCATGACGTCGGCTTTCAACGCTTCAACGCTTCAGTCAAGAATCCGGCATCTCATTCAATTGTTCGTCCTTGCAAATCCGCCTTCTCCTGAGAAAAATAAGAAAAATAAGGATCCACGGCATGCCTATCGTCAAGAAGCGTTGCTTGGTTGCACCTGGTGTGTTTTCCTAGGAATATTTGCTTAAGCCGACTGCGGAAGGGAATCTGTTTGTGAGGGCCCATTCCTAGTCAAGGATAGTTGGCTCAATAATTTCCTTCTCCACCATCTTACGAACTTATTATTCTGTCTCGTTGATATACTTTTGCCCGCGCTTAATCGATGCCCCAGCGGCAACCAATGATATATGATAGTCCGGGCCGACGGCGCTATTGTAGGCGCCATCATAGCAACAAAGCGACAACAATTTCTCACTTGTTCTCTCACCAATCAAGGGATGTCCAGCAAAAGAATCCGCTTTCGCTTTCTCGATAACCTGCCGAGCGCGTACGACGACGGATCGCTTGCTTTATGCAGCTAACAAGCTCCCCGCACTCGGTTCCATGGCAGAAACTTTCAACCTTAGTGACGGTATGTTGATTCTGCTCCCACACCACAGAACAAACATCTAGCCATTAAATTCCAGAGAGTATCTCTGAACGCCACTGAAGATGTTATGACCGGCAGTATCTACGCCCGGCGGGGATTTTTCATTCGAACTTAATCGAAGGAATTACTTCAGCTTCGGGAAAGCCAAAAGAGCATTCGAACATCAAACCCTTTCCTTGGGCCTTCGCCGCCCTGAATCGGTCTCCGACGAAGTCTCTGATAGTCTATCCGTATGCCAACCGCCTCCCCGAACGTACCGAAGCATCCGGTATTATGGCACGACGCGAAGCATATATAGTCTCGTTGACGACTCCAGGGGCCCTTCCCGCCCTTCCCTCGTCTTCACCAACGGTCGGCCTGTTCCCCACTGTTAAGTCGCGCCCGACCACCCAGTGACACCACTAGGCGCTTCTTTCCCCTTTGTTTATTTCTATTCGTATTCGTCTCAGTTTCCGCTTCTCGATTCTTGGGATAAGGGGGATGTCTTCCAACCTCGCCAGGTGTGTTGCCTCTCAGATTCCACGCGAAGGCATACTTACCTCTTGTTTTCCTGATAGCATACATTTGTCAATATCTTGGTTCAACTCTCTGCTTTACATGCTTGAAGTCACGCTCGCTTTCTACTATTACTCTCGGTTTACAATCGCACGTTCTTTCAAGATTCTGCTCGCCAGCGTGCTCATCGCAGACGCTGTGTCGATGATAGCTAACTACGCCTCTGCTTGGATTGTATGTTTTCTTCCCTGACTTCTTGCAACTCGGTGCTGACCCCTATGGCACTTCGCATAGTTGTTGATTAATCCTCAGGGTGAGCGGTTCGTAATACGATATTTCGTTATCTGACCTTTTTTTACAGACTTTTTGCCAAGAGACGCTTTATGGACAGTTCCTGTATCTACTTTCATGATTTCTATTCTTGCTGCTATCGAAGAATTCTTCCTCATCGACCGATGCCGAAAATTGCGAGTCCTTCCTTCAGATATCCACCGACGCGCAAGCCTAACCGCAACTCCCTCTAGGTCACAACCCATCATTATCACCGCGGCGCTCTGCGGGATGGTGGTAGCACATGTAAGTTTCTCAAGAACCCGCTCAGCCACCGCCGTCTTTTAATTATCGTCCGTTCCGCAGGTCATCCTCAGCCTCTACTCGGGGCTATTCGTGGTCACCCATCCCGATCTCGACCCAAACTTCGCGCGGTTCGGGAACAAAGCTGCCGCGTGAGCCTTTTCTGTTGTGATTTGTCTGATATTTCTCGGAAGTTCTGACGCACCTTCCATTTTTCTTTTCCACAACAGTATCTCCGCCTCTCTAGCTGCCACCGTCGACATGTTCATCCCGCTTGCGCTCACATGGCAGCTGTACAAGGTCACCCCAGCCCAGATTCGGAGGCAACGATCGTTGCTCGACACTATCGTCAATGGAATTTCGTCTGGTGGAGTTGGAGGGCTCGCGAGCTTCGTATTGCTAGTTCTGTTCTGGACGAGGGTAGAAGGTGCGCCTACCAATCTCTTCGTGGTATAGGAGCAGCTCCTAACGGTTGCCCTACTCCATTTCGCAGTGTTCTGGGTCTTCGCTAACTCAATGGGCCGCATATACGCACTTACCCTTCTCGTCAACCTCATCGTCAGCAAGCGAAGACATTCGTCCCATCATCCAGCGACAGAGATGGTCCCAACAAAGAAGCGAGAGTCTGTTACCACTCAAGTCAGCCTTGTGACCTTCAGTGAGCCCCTCGATACTTGAGTCATTTGTGTGTGATCCTGACTGAGTCTTGAAGGTCTTTCTCGTAGCGCCTCGACCTATACCTCTGATAGAGAAAAGCAGCTACCCCCAACACCGGGGCCTGAAGAAGTATAGCATGAGTATCTGGTTACCGGTCGCATTCCCTCCATCCTCCACCCTCCTTTTCCTACCTCCGCCTTTAACCTACCCTAGATCCATTGTGCGAACACTATAGCAACCCGAGTTGGACGATACCTCAGTACGCCTTGTACCCAATGCGTTGTACCATTCCCTGTATTCAAGATCGGACAGCGCAGCACCGGACGTTTAATTGTACAATAAACGCATATCATGAACCTTACATCCAGCAACTAATCTTACTCGTACATACACGGCTCAAATCTTGAGTCCATAGCGAACCTTCCTTTGAAATACCCAACGAACCCATAGCAGTACAGAACAGAACAGTCCTCCATATCCATCTGCCTATCTACGGCGCACTTTCCTTACTCGACGACTTAACAGTCTTCTCGTAATTCTTCGCGTAGTCAGGCGACTTGGTATAGGGCTTGCCGGAACCGTCAGACCTCCCTTTCTGCGGCGGCGGGACCATGTAGCGGACCGCTTCCCCATGTTCAAGGTACTGCGGCGTGTTCTTGTAGTTCTGCAGCGTCGCATGGCCGCTGTTGTGCACATCGCCGCGGAAAGCGGGAGGGTTATCGCTATACTTGTGCTTCGGGCTGCTGAGCACGGGAAGCTCCTCGCCCGGGACTGGCTTGCGCTTCATGTGGGCCATGACTTGCTCGTCTGCACATGTCAGGAGTCAGACTGGAGGATGGAGGATGGAGCACGTGTGGGACGTACAACGAGGATTCTTCCCCATCTCCTCTTCCTTTCGTTTGGCGTTCTGGAGGCTGTAGTAAAATCCGCCTAGCGTGGCGGCGACCGCTGTGCCCCCTGCGACAAAAGCCTGCGAGTTGAGAGCGTTAGGCGGCACCGTTGACGCGCCGGAGGGAGACAGCTGACCTTTCCTGCACCTGAAGTCATTGAGACAATTGTGATATGAGATAGATGTTGTAGGGTTCGATGGTGGTATGGAATACGATGTGAACTATAGTAACTTGCAGGGGACACACACTGCGCGTGCTTAAGTCCAGCTGACTGATTCAGATTCTGAATGGGCCGATTACGACACTGCGGACGGCCCAATGTGCTTCGTCGTTTCGCATGGCAGGGTGTTGGTCTGAGACCTCTACCGAATTGATAAGCAGGAACTGAATAGGGGAGGTGTGTATAAACCTAAAGAAAGACGGGTCTAGGCGAAGGTCTACGAGCGTGGGCCAGTTGTTGATTCGCTATTTTTGCTGAGTGCCAGGGACCGGGCTATAGGAGGAGAAATGGGTTCAGTACGGTCATCAAGAATCACGCAAACGCGCTAGATAGAACACGAGAACGGAAGATGGCCTGTGCAGAATGTAAGGGTGGAAAATTGGTACGTAAAGAGGTAGACGGAGACGCGTCTGGCTCCTTCCCGAGCCATCCAAAGCGAGATAGAGAAGACGTAGACGTACCGGTTCTGTACTCCTCCATTTCCGCCTTGCGCCGCTCGCCCATTTTCTTTTTTGCGAAGTAGAATGTAACGCCGGCCACGAGGAGGGCCCCAGTGAACCCAAAACCCTATAATCGGACGAAGCAGATGAGGAGACGTTCAGGGACCCAGAAGAGCGAAATGAGCAGAGAGAAGCGCTTACCATCCTTTGCGACGTTGTCAGCTTAAGTTGCGCCATATTATTGACGGACGCAGGACAGAACGCCAGTCGGATGGGGCAGCGCCGGGGGTGTCGATGGGATCCACAAACCTTCTGGCTCTGCAGCTTGTTGCAAGGGATCGTGGAGGCTCTCCACAACAGCAGCACAACGACCTGCCATCATCAGCGCAAACAGGAGTCTACAAAATAATTAGGTAACACGTTCTGAGCTTGACCACGAACCACCTTGAACGAAAGTTGACTATATTCTATTAGCGGTCGACCTTTTCTTCTTCTGAGAGCTCTCCGAAAAACCCGTATCAGGATCACTTGGTCTCCTTGCCCTACTTTGCCGCTCAGGTTGGACTCAGACTGCTGTGAGGGGACCCTTTTCACATAAACAACCTTCGTGCCCTACTTCTATGGTCCCTCAAATCCCTCTTCTGGCTCCTGAAGTCTCGGAGAACCTTCATCTAGCCAACCGTCTTCCTGGCCGAAGATACAGGCACGCGCTTTGCCTTTCATTCAGCTGCCTAGCCGCTCCTTCAAGATGCTTCATATGACCAATCGACAGGCTTCGTGCGGTCTTACACCTGTAGCCACGCTCGTGAACCTTTATTTCACGGTTGCGTGAGGCCCTCGTTACAGTAGACGTTCTGCGATATCATTTGAGCCAGGCTGTCCGAGGCGTGAACCAGGCTTTATCCACCCACAGCTGCGCGGATTGGAGGAGTTGTTGCTCTTCGCCGTCAGGTCGTCGTTAGCGAAGCTTGCCTTTAGGCCGCATTCCTAGTTCTCGTACTGTTCGTTCTTCCGATTGGACGTGGACCCCCGTTTCTTCAATGAAGCTGACGTCGTTTACGACGCGTATCGGATTTCCTACACCTTTGGGGCTCTTGTGAGGAAGAGGTAGCTCACATCCAGTTCATGTGCCAATTCCTTCTGGTGTGAAAGCTGTGGTCACCGCGGAGATGCCCTCTTATTCACTCACGCGGAGAATTCTCGCTAACGCCATCTTATCGTGTCACTACCAAACCGCTTTGAACGACGAACGGGTTCTAAACCGGCACGGCTAATGTTCCTGAAGCTCGCCTCTGTGGATGAAGCCCACGAACTGCTTCAGTTCCTATCTGGAGAATGCTCAACTTCGGGTGACGGCCTGAGCAATCATCTATCCAATTGATGATAGTTAAGTTCCGCCTCGAATTATCGATGAAGGAACGCTACCGCGCATCGGATATTTCCCTATCTGTTCTATCACCGTCGCGAATCAACGCGTTCTTCCTTTCTCTGCGTACGAGCTCTTTGTTCCGTGATTTCGAGGCCTCCTGGATGCCAGAACCCACCAATGGCGGCGCAGAAAGATACAATCAGCAGTATGCAGATATCCGGACCGTTGGACGTCGGGAAAAGAGCCTCGAGGCTGAACACAATATCGCTGAGCTCGAACTTGGCGCAGCCATGGAGAGTTCCCACTCCGCGAATAACACCCTCGGAGGCGTCTTAACATTTCTTTCTATCTTCAAGCTTTCATTCTTTGCCTGTCTCGTACAGTGCCGAAGAAACGTGGTCTTTGAACGGATAGGATTCCGAGACAATGTACGAGCTGAAACTTTCTCCTTCCCCGTGAGGCCTGAAAGCCGACTTTCAACCCGGTTCGCTGTGGGTCTTTCATTGCCCATTTCCCTTTTACAACACCGCGCGCTTCCTTTCTTTCCGCTTTGATTAAACCGATGTACAACATTCTATACAGCCCTTCACAACATCCGACTCATGTTCGCCTCATGTTCTTTTGTGCATCGCCCCGTCTTTCGTCCGTCTGCTCAGAGCGGTTCTCAATGGACACTCGGACGGGTCCACGCGTTTCACTCCGATTGAGTTTTTGTGTTTGCCTGGCAAGTAGGCTATTCGCGTCGGGTCGGGTGTATGATGATCAAAGGGAATCACTATCTCATAATCTTATCTATCTTTGTGGTTTTCCCTAAAACTGCACGCGCCACACACCGGCGCTGATCAGTCCGGATCAGGATGGACTACAGCAAATTCAGAAGAAACCAGGGGCTCAGTTCGTCTCCTCTCGTCTGTCCTTGTACTTTCACCTTTCTTTCACCTTTTCATCAACCTGGACGGGTTGAAAAAGCCGAACTAGGTGTACCATGCCGTCGATCGGGCCATCGGATTATCGCTCGTTGATTGCCCACCTAGGAACGGAACCTGATTAGGTCCCGTCGCCATCCACACCCACCTCTGCATTCCAATCAATGAAAGGACGTCTTGGGTCGCAACGAGCCACGGCTGGTTGGCTCAAGGCTCTGGCTGTCCCCTGGAGCCGTTCAAATCTGTTTGAACGGGTTTCGAAGAGGTTAATGGCCGGGTTGGTTTATTCAATTCGATTGGCACGTCCAGGGACAACGGGTTCGTTGGTCCGTCTCGTCGTTTAGGCGCCCATGCGCTCGTAGCGTAGGATGAAATCAACGTGCTGGTTTTTTCATCTCGAGTGAGGCGTTTGCTCGATGGGTAGGGTAACGTTCTGTAGACAGGTCTTGCAGGCGAGCTGGTCTGTTTTTGAGACCAAGCAGGTTGGTGGTATAGTAGAGTGAAATTCACCGACGAACCGGGAGGGCCTCCTTCAGTCCCTCACGGCGTTCCTGTGGCTCAAAGCCTTCTCCAGTGGCGGAAACGATAAATCTACTTTATGTAACCTTCCGGTGGTGATTACCACTTTCAAAGGCTAGCACTTATCAAAAACCGTGAATAACGCAAATGCCTCAGGCTAAGTCCGGGACCTTCCCCAGACGTCCTCGATATCTCCGTCCTCGCCCACGTTTGCAATCACGCGACTTCGCAGCGTCGAAGAAAGTATTCCTCGAGGGGTACGGGATGGCTCTACGAGTCTGGGCAATGATATCATAAAGGGTCTTCATCGAGACGACAGCGTCGAGGCATAAGTTTGTTGTTCGTTCGATCGTTTGAAAATCCACGGCGACGAGGCTATAGCTAAGTAAGCATAGATTGGAGGAGATGTGAACTGTTTCTCTCTGTGAATCGATGGGCGGAGACTTGGATAGTGGTCACCAGGTCCGTACAGTACGCACAACGGGGTTTGGTTCGCGTATTACCGCCGAGTATTTTCTATTCAATAACAACTCAGGACACTCCTGGAAATCATCCCTGAAGTTTACAGCTGAGGTGCGCTCTCGGACACCCTGGCCTCGTCCTCGCGGGCTACTCGTTCCCCAGCCAGGGAACTATTTTTGTCGAAGGGACGCAGAACGCACAATTCTAACAGGTCGCTGCTTATCTCCGACCGTGACGCCGGATGCGTCTTTGTCTTTGTCTCCTCCATCGGCTATATCGTAAAGAACCTTCAAAGTTTCAAAGGACAATTGAGGCGATAAGATGAAAAGATACTTCACGAGGCTTCTAGCTTCACGCACATGTACACGTTCCGAGATTCACTAACTGCTTCCCTGAGCATGCTTTTCTCCTACTCGCCCCCTTTCGCTTTCATCCTTCAAATCAAATCCGTGCCTTCATCCACCTTTGCCTGCTTGCAACGGTGTCTTTTATCTCGCGTCTACCTTGGTTGTCCCGAGCCAGCGCTCAGCCCTTCCGTTCTTTGCGCCTCTTAGCGCTAACATTAATTCTAACAGCCTTTCAGGCCCAGTCAAGCGCAAAATAACACCCTGCTCAAAGCGACTTCTTAGGGCTGAAAGCCGGCGCATGACCACGCACGCGTGTTGAGCCCTACAAGTCCAAACCGGCCCTACAGGGCCTTTCCCCCGCATGGACCCCCACGCGCTCGGGAGGACAAATGTCACTCGAAAGCATATCTGACAGCGCTTGGGTCGCTTGGGCGGTCGAGACTAGCGTACTTTGTACCCTGCGCAGCAATATACAGAGTGACTGGTTTGGTTCTTCGACTCTCCAGGTTATCACGAGCGGGTAATAGCTGTGTTTCCTCCGTCCTGACACCGGAAATACGTATAATGCACTCAGTTATCGCTGCGCAAAAATGCAGCACACAGGTTATCCTGAACCCTGCTATCTTTCGGCCCTCCAGGGCCTCATTGGCAAGACTAATACTCAAGAGGCCCTCGCGGGAAGGAGCCCGCACGCAGGCGTAAGCACCCTCTCGTACGCTGCTGCGAGCCTCGATCTCGAACCCGCATCGCTCGTATCTGCCGCTGAATGCATACTACTTGCCAGAACCAGAATACCCGTTGAAGTCCCTAAATATAATTGAGTGCGAGGCTCTATATCTGCTCAGGGATTATTAATAATTTAGAGGGCGGCTTTAGTAAAAATAACACTTGCGGGGAGCGACGCTCGCTGCGCAGCGCGTGCGCGTCGAACGCCGAATTCGAGGCTTATAGAAAGTCTGACGCATAAACCTATATACATAGACACACTTCAGCGATTTAATTATAAGTGCTCCCTCTGATCTTGCGACAAGGCACCGTCAGTGTCACCGTCGGGTCTGTCTATTTCTGCCAATCAAGAGTCCTGAGGCCTGAGCACTGAGCAGTTCCTGAGGAGATATTGTGGGATATACGCCATTTAGAGTAGAAGCCTAAGAGCCTGCTTATAACTTGAACCTGAGCATACTACGACTATAAGGCCCGCTGCCAACCGCCTTTCACTGCCTGGGGAAACCTTGAGAGAACTCTGCGTAGCTTACCATGACTAGAGTATAAGATATCTTGGGCCATCCCGTATTGAGAATACCGTATCTAACTGCGCACGCACAGGCCGGCGTCTATGATATATAATAGATGACAGCATATGTCGGCCATCCACGGCCCACTCTGACCTAAAGGCCCGCGAAACCCAGCCGTTACACGACCTGCTGGGGAAAGGAACCCGAACATCGGGTTAAGTCGCCCACTAGGTGCTTCAAAGTGAATCATCGAGGCAGTTCCGTTGGGAGCGGAGGGGAAGGACAGGATCAGGATCAGGCAGGGTGCGCACCCTCAGGCTGGCGCTGAGAGAGTCTCCCAGTAGAGGTTATTTGCGGTCTTGAGGGCTCCGGAAATCCGTGGATCTGATTGGCTTGGGGCTACTTCAGCCAGTGAGATTTGGGTGGTGCCAGGAATATTCAAAGTGCACATAACCTCTCGTGCGAGAGCAGGATCAAGCGCCCGTCCCGAATCGGGTCAGTACTCTCCGTCAGCAGTGACTCACTCAATTCTGATGCGGTTTCTGACATCTGTTCAAGCCCGTAGAGTTTTTTTTTGCCATGCATGAAGCGCACGTTTTTCCTATTAATTTTAGGTGAATGACAGAATCCACATATCCGCACGCACCCCTTCTCCCTTTCCTTAATGATCGCCGGTCAAGATCTTTGCCTTTTCATAGAGTACGGGAGAGTCCAGGGCGTCGTACGAGGTGTTGGCGGTCGTGGACCGCGACCGCGACTAGGCGTCTGCAGCCTGCAGGGTGCGTGGGATGCAGTGAAGATTTTCGTCGACAGGGGTACACACATACATACCTTGCAGCAGATATAAGAATAGACCACCGTACGCGTCGCTGGATGGAGGCATGCCGAGAACGCGCTCTGAAACTGGCTTTATGTTTCTGGTCGGAGTCGTGCGTTGTTGCCCGTATGCAGTGTTCACTGCAGGCAACGCGGATAACACGAGCACTGGATGATTAATTGATTACCCGCCACCCCAGTGCCGCGTGCCGTCCAGCTGCCGCCCATTCATAACCAAGTCAGGCTCAAGCTCAAGCTCAAGGCGCTTAGACTGACAACGCCCATCGCCGTACACATGCACTTGATACACAGGTGGTGAAAGCCACTGGGCCTAGGGCGTTCCGAATATAAAAATACAAATCCGACCAGTCGCTCGCTCGCCCCTCGGGTCTACCATCTTCAAGATAGTGATGAGTCTGAATTTTGATGATGCCGGGTTGATTGAAATCCGCAGTCGTAACTCGGGGCGCGGGGCGACCCAAACTACCCAGTTGCCCAGACTCTGACCGCGGGACACACAGAGGGGTTACATAGTTCCAAGCCGAGGGCCGCAAAGCTTAAAAGTCTGACGAGAAGAGAAGAGAAGAGTCGCAGAACCCGAGAGTTCAGGAGGAAAGTTTTGAATGTTTGGGTGCCCAGACCGTCAGAACGCGACCCACGAGACTCGAGAGTACTTGGTGAATCCAAAGGGGACACCGCCGATGATCTGCAGAGAGAAGGCGTTTGGGCGGAGATAAATCGGAAGGCCCGCGTCGAGCCGTTAAACGACGTTCGCATGTGTGTACGACGTGCGACGACGTGCAAAGGATCTGAAATCAATTGTAGGCGCTGGGTAGAGGGTTGTTGGTTGTTGGAAAGCTGAAGCCAAGGTTGTCTCCTCCTCGCCGCTAGCACGCGACGCCTCGCCATAATATAAGTCGTGCATGTATGCATACGCATATGGTCCTTTTTTTGCATTCCATGTTATGAGCAGAAGCTGGCATATAGAGTACGCCATCAAGGCACTTGGAGACCTGGGATTGAAAACCAGCTGAGTGGGCTCTATAGGGTTTGGGCATGTGTACCATGGACGCTGTACGGAGGTGGACGGGCACGGGTCCGAGGAGGGAGAGGTGTTGAGGACGGGCCGTGGACGGCGCGTATGGGACGTCGGGGCGACACGGAGGAATCGCCCGCTGCGCTCGGCCGTCCAATGGGACGCAAGAAACAGATAACGAGATCGGTTGCGTGCGGGCGTGTTCGCACAACCCAGAGTCCGCGGGTGAACAATGCCCACCTTTATCTCGGTCCATTCAAGGGAGAAAAAAGGACAATGTGGCGGAGGGTCCCCTGCGGATAGGAGGCGCGCAGGGCTGTTGAACGTTGATTTTAATGTTGATTTATTGCGTGTAGAGTCTAGACGAGCACAGATACCATTCTAGGCAATCCTTCATGGCGCAGTTGTCTGGGAAACGCGCACGGTCAGCTGCTACTGGTGGGTCCGTGCGTCTTCTGGGTTTTGGCTGTGCGCTAGTCGTGGCTCTTCTTCCTCCACCAGGACATCATGAAGCAGTAACTGATGAGGCAAACGACTCCAAGCCTCGCGTTCACGGCTGATGTCAGAGAAGGGAAGGAGGGCAGTGACGATCGATAACAGATCCAAACCCGATCGCACGAACCGACTCGGCTCGCTTGTCTCTCCGCCGAGCTGCTCAGATCTCCAGATCCATCTTGCCCGCGTTGTGCTGTGGTCAGTATAAAATCCGGGCGAACAGGCCTCTCCTCCATTGACCATTACCTTCCCCGACCTCACTTCCACCAATTCGTCCAAGCGTACGCGCTTGCTCAAATCTTCCACAACGGCTACCCAAAACCCTTCCTACCCTCCCCAGAAGCCCCCAAAAATGCCGGGCGCAGTCGTTGGAAACGCGACACGGATCTGGGAGCTCAACGTCCATTGGGCCCTCTACAGTCAGTGCGGTATATGGGATCCTAGAAGTCGCGGCGTAGATATTTGGGAGTGCATTCGAGATCGTAAGTCCCCCAACACTCATCCTCGCGTCGCAGGTGCTCATATATGCGCCCTCTTTCAGATGATTCAACTCCTGGAACACAGGTTCGCCTCTTTCAACTTCGGACTTTGCTTGTAGGATCCTGACCCACGTCGCCTTCTAGCCTCCGAACGCTGCATATTGGAGATACATTGCTCGAAGATAGTCAGGGCGTCGTCGTCGCGTGCCCCCCACTTCCCCGCGGCCGTTCTCACCCCCGACGAGGCTCCTTCGCACCCACCTGCCACCCTCGCTGCAAACGTCATGCTTCTCAATGCAATGCACACCCCCATTGTCCCCAATATCTCGCACGTCAACCGTCCTTCCGACACATGCATCAGCATTTCGTACCGTTATTTATGCGCAACCGACGTCATTCCTCCCTCCTAAAATCCGCCTTCATGGGTCCCTACCCCGACTAGGCTGCGGCACTTGACAGCTGCCTCTGGCCACACCCCGTCCCACACCCACACCTCTCGTCGGCCTGTGTCGCTGCCGGGCACCGTAATACAAAGAATGGGTTAGAGTGTGCATCCCCGCATCGCGCACACTGGCTGGGAAACAAATGATCTCCTGTAGGTCAGTCGGTTGCAGAAGCCTCCTCTCCTCGAACGATCATCTTCTTGCATCACATCCCACCTGCATCTTCATATATATCTACTCTTCTCCGTTCACACCTCTTTTTCCTTTCATCCTTTTACATCTATGGGGATTCTTTATTCCGGGGATTGGTTAGAACGTTCTAATACCTACCACGCTTTAACTATAATTTATTTCAAGTCTTCTCTGCCTCCCGCACCGTGGACGCGATCCTTTGGGTACCAGCTAGATGCTGTACATTTTGTAAAGACTACAATACCAGTGCTCACTGCTCGTCAATCGTGCCGTCTCACAGTCGCGACTCGTGTACGGCTTACTCGGCAAAGAAGAAGGACGGTGACGTCGTGCTGCGTCATTGGAACCCTCCAACCACCACTGCCCTGACTGCCTATCCCAAAAGCATCCGCGAAATTTCCCGTGCCCCCCAGCTTCTTCGAGGTTCTTCTGCGACCTCAGCCTAGGAATCTCCTTCAAGCTTAGCCCGCAGCCCAAGGTCCTGTTGGGACGGGGCCGAGCAGCGTCGTCTCTGCGGCCATCTATCTATCATCTTATTATCTTGCCCTCTCTCAACGAGAAGTATATCACGAGAGCCCGGCCTGCACCCCCCAACATCGAGCTTCCCCAATTGCACGCCCTCTGACGGCATGCTGCACGCTCGGCGGTTATCTCAGGTCAGCACTGTCCACATGCTCAGCACTTCTGACCTCAGGCTTCCTTCGTCCGAAAGGACAGCAGCACGGTGTCTTGACTATGCGTATCGAAGCCCGTGCTCATGTTGGGACGTTGAAACTTGAAGCCTCAAAAGTCACTGGTGAGACTGAATGAGAGTCGGAGTGAATGGACGAAGCTCAAGCTCGTCACAGTACACTGGTGGCGTCGTCTTGCAACCCCCCGGCGTTCGTCGCGGGACGCTGACCGGGTGCCGGTGTGCGACGCGGCGCGTGTTGTCTGCGATGACCAGCCCCGTCGGGTCGTATCGACGCGACACTACTTCATCGACGATCGACATGGGCATCATCATCGACTCGTCGTCCGGGATCTGCAGGCCATCGATGTCCAGGCGATGCGGTGTCGATGTGGGCCCGGCGCGCGCTTGAGGCTTGCTCGGGTCGATCGCTCCCTTCTATCAATGCGTAGGGCGGGGGGGAGGCTGGCTCGAGGGTTCGACTCTCTTCAAGCTCAATTGCTTTCAATTGACTTTGATCGCGACGCGAACTGAGGGCTCCTGACGCGCAACCACGAACGTGCGAATATCATACGGAACTTCCCGCGGTCATTACGGGCCTTGCCGCTCCGGGCCGACCGGAAGTCTTCTTTCTTTTGCCCATCGATTCTCAAGCGACTTCAACTTTCTCCCACCAACTTGAATTGCAAGTCACCGCGGCACGCGGGCGTTACAGCAGCATGTCCCCCACGCTGGAGGAAGGAAGGCACCCCAGGTCCCAACTCAACTTCAAAGTTCAATTCAGGTTTGCCGTGCTAAGAATAGGACGTCATCGCCGGCGTTAGGCATCGAACACCTTCTCCCCCAGCGCTCAGCGCTCATCAGCCAGGAATGGGACAGTGCCTGGCCCCTACTTAGCCTCAAGCTCAGGCTCAAGCGCAAGCGCAAGCTCGTGTGGACACTCATGATCATGACGCACATCCGCTGGCAATGGCAATTGGAAAGCGTTTCCTCGAACCCAAAAATCCGAATGCAGCAGAAATTGGAATAAGTGTAATGTCGAACGACTGGGGTATCAGCTGGGGTAGGGCGATCTGACGATCTTCTTTTTCTGTACAGACACGCAAGCTCTGATCGGCCATGACATATCTGAGTAAGTGAACAGACCCTCCCCTTGCAATGCCGTCTTCTCTGCTTCTGCGTTCTCATGCCCCCGTCCTTCTAGTGGGCCTGCACACAAACGCTGGACTCAGTCGATCCTCGGAGTGTCCCACACTGGCACACGCATTGCTGCAGAGGCGTTCATATGTATAATCACAGCCAAATTTGAACACCCGTGAGTTCACGGAGCGTATGCGTTAAATGAATTATGTTATCGAAGTTTATGCCAGGCGCAGTAGGACGCACAAGACCTCTCTTCGTCGCGTGCACGGATAATGGTTTCCGGAATAATGGGCGTATGTCACGAATGCTGCAAGGTCTACGAGTCGCCATCCGTCCCGGTAGAATAAAGTTTGCACCCCCGTTTTTTTCTTGCGTTATGTTACTGAACTACGGTTTGTTGGGACTTTTATTAATACATTTGGCCGGCGCTGACTGACTGGCTGGATGGTAGATGAACTTGAAGCGAAGGCAATCTGCATCATTTGGAGGCGCTGAAAGGCTCGTGCCGGCGCATTGCCCCTCCGAAGATGCCAATGTCATGTCATAATCATCCGACGGAGGCTTGCCTGACTGGCTGAAGCTCTTGAGCCTATAGCTTGATGAGATAAGAACTCGACGGTGTCTCTCTGCCTGTAACGTTAACGCTGTGGTTTAACTTTGCGTGGATCGCCACGATTGGCCCCGTCCGAACCAGAAAATATCCGACTGGACGCCGCCTCGAGTGCTGAGGCCAATGAATGTCCGCGAAGCTGAAGGCTGAAGCTGTGACCGGTTGACCAGTGCTGACGGCGCCTCGGAAGAATCGCAGAGTCCGCGTGGGCACACTTGGTTCCCTCCGTTCGCATCACATTATTAATGACGGTGGGTGAACGTTACCTACTGCGCGAGCAGCGCCAGTGATTTGATTAAAGGTATTCTTGTGTCGTCGGAGGAGAGCAGAGGTATCACATTCACATTCACAGACTGTAGCCTCCCGAGAATGTGATTGATACGCATCGTACGGAGGTCGGAGTGGTGGTAGAACGCCTTGTGTGTTCGGATCCATATGTTTTCAACAAGAGTATTCTGGACAGCTGCAATAGACAAATAGACAGAACGGAACGCGCTAGTGGCGGGCCCGAGTGAGCTGCGCAGCTTCCCTTCCCCATGTCAGTTTTGACTCTGATTCAGCAGAATATCATATCAGGTTCTCTGGTTCGCTCCACCCCGGGCTTAGTTATGGCGTAGAAATTCGGCTTGATAATCCGTTGAAACTTCGAGTTCTATGTCAACCAAAAAGCGTTGAATAAACTTCAGTTTGGTGTTCAACACTGCGAAGCGTCAGTGGATTCTAGCTCTGACAGTCCTACCTAATACCTATCATCGTCTCTAGGCTCTTGAGACCAAGTCGTCATATAATTAGCTTCTAATGGACGATACGCATGGCTCTCAAAATAATCCTCTGCAAGTAAGTGCTTATTCACTGTAGTCTTTTTTAATCCCCAGGGACCAAGACCACAGCTTGTGGTTTAATTGGACGCGGGAGACGGCCAATCGTAGAATCCCCCCGGCGGCTGTCCTTGGGAACCTATAGCAAAAATACACTGAATACGTACATAATAATAATAATACGGAGAGACGGAGATGGAGGGAGAAGGAACAGGGAATAGTCACTCTTGCTGAGAACCGAAGGGCAACGGAACACGACAGAACAGGACTTAATAATAGAATATCATAAGCTTAGACTGGAAGTGCTGCCTTCGTGTGTTCGTGAGCTATTCCGAACGTGTCCAATTGTCCAATTAGGATTTGATAGCAGGAGGTATTAGAAGGCATGAGAAGGTGTCAATGAACGGAACAGAACAGAACAAAGCGAAAGTGCTCTATCATGAATCATCGACTCATCCGTGGCGTCCGAGTGGTTCGAAGCTCTGGGAGAACACATGGAACAGACCCTTCGCAACACTCATACTCCGAGGATGCCATTGGTCGCTGCCTCTCCGACGTGTTATGAGCCAATGGGAAGTGGGTCTCGGAACACAAGAACGCCATAAGGGCATATAAGCGCCGGACGGGTGGACGGGAAGCTGTGGTATACGTTACTACGACGTCGTTGTAATGATAATGTTGCAGATGCGAGGAAATGCCTCATCATGACAATGGCATGGCCTGATGTTGAAGAAGCATATGTTAATGACCATCGTGTTACGCGAGGAGGATCAAAGGAAGGTTAAGTTGACCGCTGAAGCGCGAAGGGGATGAAGGGATGAATGATTTATGATATCCACCCTTATTCCGAGAGTCCTTGTGATAGTAAAGTGCGTCTATTGCATTAGAAGCGCAAAGGCAGGGGATTGTTCTCAGTATCTGAGAGATTGAGCCCAAAAATAATTGCAAGGAGAGGGAGGAAAAATAAGCGCTTGCAAATCATCTCAGCGTCAAGTGAAAGACTGCGTACTTGAGTCTGACAAAATCCATAAGAAATCTGAAAATAATCCCAGCTATTTTGAGAACCTAAATTCATATTTCACAGGCAGGCATGAGTGGGAAAATCGTCTTCACCAAAGTATTGATAGTCGTGCACTTCGCGCTCATCCGGCGTATGCCAGAAGCTGTCACCGAGTCGTGTCATGATGATCTGACGGTACGGGCGAAATTACCTGTCCATGTACCACCGGGCTGATGCAGACGTCAACGAAGATGAAGGTGGGCCGGTCTCAGGCTCAGAGGAACGGACCACCTGAGAGTCCTGAACGCATACATAGAGCCGCTCTTCTAATTCGGGGATTCTGGTCTGACATACGGCTGACATGTCTACTGACAACGCACCCCCGTTGCAAGGCGACGCGAATACTACGTGACCCTTCAGAGAGGTCAGAATACCAGCTAGAATCCGCCGCTCGTACCTCCCGTCTGATAGTAATAAGGATGCGTAGTAATACTTAGAGGCTAATAGGGAATATGGGCCCGGGTTCGGGGTCGGCGCATACTGCGAGAGTCGATTAATCTTATCATGGGACGCAATTAAAATGAACTATCCGTGTGGCGGCCTTGTTCGGCGAATTCGAGTTGAGTGCTATTGCAGAGGTGAGCCACCAAAGTCTGATTCGTTATCGAGGCGTCCTGAGTTGCTTTATCCTGTCATATATCGCGGGCGAGGCAAAGCCGAGATACGACACGGCTCTCTTACTAACCTTCCACCGCGTAATCAAGGGGATATACATCCATCCGCACAGTGAAATTGAGACGCAATAGCACGATAGTCAGAACGGAACGGATGCACTTGGAAGTTAGGACGCCGATGGAGCACAGCGCGTTTGAGTAGCCGAACTTGCGCGCGGCGCGCGTGCAAGTAATTAGAGCGACGCGCTTGGCGGCTGTGCACCCTACGTCATTTCGATCGACGAAGGAGGAGTGGGATCAGATCAGCACGTTTGTTGAAAGCTAAATCGGTGGATGAAAGTGGTGATTTCCTTCAACACAAGTATTCATTGATTCTACCAGTGGGGGGCAATCGTGCTTCATGGGGCCAACAGACTCCAGAGCATGTTGGGACAGTTTCACGTGTGCGCCTCGACGGAATTTCTTGGGAGTTTCTGAGCTCGAGGCCGCTTCTTGTAACTCGGACCTTGGACTGGGTCGGGTCGAAACTGTTTCCCAGCGTATATTTCGTTTCTTCGATAAGCTTTGAACCTTTCAAGCAGGTCACGGAAGTTGGCCATCCGTGATGGAAGACTATGTTTACTTGAAGGACCCCTTCCGACGCGTAGATAAAGGCCACTTTCCGAGACTACATCACGGAGATGCCTGAAGGAACAGTCCACGGAAGACGTGCACATCAACGTACGAGCCCCGGGTTTGGCGTCAAAACACGAACGCACCCCAGAATTTGTCTTCTTGGACCGTATAGGATGTCGCGAACCGGAGAGAACGCTAATGAGGGAGAAGACGCGCACAGCAATTAAACGCATTTTCGATCATGACCCACATTGGGGATACATTCGACCACAAAGGATCAGCCTCGTGTAAAGTTGTTTCTGCTGTGATCATGATTTCGGGCAGTGCAATACTCTTTGGACGGCCGTGGGTTGACGGCCAGGGGTGCCAGCGTACAAGTGCACTCAAACTCGAGCTCCCGGGAAAATGGGATGTCGTCAGCAGTGATGTTGATCACTCCCACGAGGCTGCTTCTGATCGACGACGTCATCGAACATCGCCTGCTCCCCGCGTTTCTCCCTCGCGCTGGCCCCAAACCCGGCCAGCTCTTCTGAATAGCCGCGAAATTAAACGTGTCCCGTTCGCAGAGATGTGGTGTCGACATACCAAGTGATGAACTGGGTCGGTTGAGCAATGCCGCGTCGGTAAAGGGTAGATCGTGCACTGCTCTTGATGTCAGTACCAATGATATCGAACACGGAGGAAAGTATTTGCCTGATGCATGGGCGGCACCCACGGTCGGCTGGAGGAGGCAGGCAATGCCTGGTCGGCACCGAGAGGCGTCGGCTGTCCTTTATTTTCTGGCCGTGCAAGGCCGGTGCCTGGAAGCGGGGACGGGATACCACGGCGCTCTAGATGATATCAAAAATAGTGTCGACCGTCGTTTATAGGCCCACGCTAACGACGGTTTGAAGGGTAATCGAAATGGATGAGGTGAACGCGGTTAAGATCAATGCAGTTAGGATCGTGCCTCGACAAAAATATACGCTTCCAGAATTCCTTTTGTTTTACAGAATAATTTGGCCGTAGAGGTCGACGTCCAAGAGCTGAAACCAGCTCGTTCCTGATAGAACCAGCGTAGCTGAACTTGTGGGAGAACCTAGCCTTGACTTTTAGCTATAGAGGAAGCCCAGATAGCGGGAACAAGTTCGGCTATCCTTCACTCGGACATAAGCCCAATGGTTGCCAGATTCTGGTGTGTTTCAACGGCAGGTAAGATCTCATGATCGAAGGTTAGCCATTGGAAGGGTGACGTCAGGAAGAGGAGGGTAGATAACATAGAGGTAGATTGATAGGTCTTCGGGAACGGCGCCAGATTGTGGGTACACAAAGTTTATGCTGTCGCGAATGGATCCGACACGAACCAGATCGCATTGTCTTGTGGCTCGCACCCAGACAAGCATCCTGAGCTAGAAGAAACGCTAGAAGCAAACCGTGTAGCAACAGATTGAGCCAGTGGGTTTACGATACCGCATAGAGACAAGCCGCCCGCGACTTGGCCAGAAGCCCGGTCATATTAAGGGAATACGAGAAAGGAAAGATGCGCTAAGCTGCGAGAGGCGTGCCCACTGCACCACGTGATGATCACAGTGGCGCACATGATGCGCGTTACGCGTTACGCGTCCGGAGTGTGGCGCGCATTACGCAATCAAGGTTCTGCGAACCAGGTGACCTAGTTCTAGTTCCGGTCCAACCTCGACCTCTAAAATCCAAAAATACAATGAGCCAAAGGACACCAATGTTCCAGATGTTTCGTCGATGACATCAGGGGCTCCTGTGGGGCTTTATAAAGGCTCCTCTGTCTCTTCCCCACTTAGACATTTACCACCACCGATATCAACAGCTCCTCGTGAAATATACTCGCATCATGTTCGCCTCGCGCATCCTACGCAATGTTGGCACTACAGGAAATAGGCTGATGAAAGAGGCTGGTGGGCCTCAGAACAGGAATGTGGTACGTTGGCTTTCACGGCTCCACTGAGACATGAGGCGAGGAGCGACTTGTTCTTGCTATCGCAGTTCTACGGGATAGCTGCCCTTTCTGGGCTCACAGTCCTTGTGTATTGGGCTGGGTACAAGGCAGAAGGCAGATCTCGAGGCAGAATCGGTATGTTGTGATACTCTATGTTCTTCAGGAGACTTCAGCAAACCTCCGTGGTATCAGACAACCCAACCTCAGCAAAATAGGAGCTGTACGCTACCTCGAACGTCTTCATGGACCATTCTAGGTCCGAAACGCGCATGAAAGCGCGCTGTAACACCATTGACGCCACCTCGGCCGGCCTCGAAGAACGAAGAACCACTGTATTATAATTAACTCATGCAATTGTACAACTTGTGTCAAGTCACCAGACCAAGTCGCTCAGAAGACTACTCAATTTAATGGGGCTGTCGTTGAAAGTCACGGACCCGTCGGTTTGGTTAGACTCTGGATCGGGTTCCAGAGCGCTGGTAGTGGATTCTGAGCCCGCAATCTGGAGCCTCTGACCGGAGTAGTCTGCGGTCGCGAGGTGAACAGTGTAGTAAGTCACGTTGTCAGCGTCGACTGGGTTGCTCATTGCTTCGACACACCATTCGCGATGGTGCTTCCGGTGCTGTGCACAGACGATATGAAAGGCAAAGATATGTCGTTTTCAACAAGCTCACCTCCTTCTGACACTCGCGACTACAATACGCGGGCTTTCTCGTCGGATGATGGCAAGGTCCTGCACACTTCTTGAGCGTCTTGGTTGGGAAGAATTTCGCGCAGCTCTCGCATATATCTGGCTTTGGGTCCTGATGACCCGTCGCTTTCCTCAAAGTAACATTCAGCCCGTGTATAAAGGTCACCTTGTCCATCAGCTCCCCATATGGAATTTTGCCGTAAAGTTTGAAGAACATGTTGCCGACTAGCAAGCAGATATGGGAGTGCAGCCCAAGCAGGCAGCTCTCGAAACAGAACTTCATCGAACACGGGATGCGGTCGTCGTAGTCGAAGTCCTTCCAATCGTCGCTGTTCAGGACGATGTAGTAGTAGAGGAGTCCGAGAAGGCTCGCTGCGACTGCGCGTTGCGAGGAGGAGAAAGTGTTCGATTGGAAGACAAGAAGAAGGATCCTCCTCGCCTCGCTGTTATCGAGTGGGATTTCGGCTCCCGTAGCCAAACTAAGACGCGTAGAAGATGAATGACGGGAGTAGGAGACGGGAAATATGCGTAGTTCACCGGAGCCCATACTCCAACATATCATCTGCATCTCCGCGCTCAACCCCCGCCTGTACGTCCTCGATTTTTCGCTGCTTGAACCGCCGCATGATGCAGTTTGTCGTCACGAGAAACTTTTTGTTACGGCGGGTTTCATAAGAGCTCGAGGAAGGAGACCCGATGTTTGAATCGAGCCAATACCCCGTCGTCGCGGGCAAGAAGCAGGCGAGGTATGTGCAGGCTTATTGCTGCAAAGGCGATGTGAGCATGAGAAATGGCTTGTTGGCATCGTTTAGGTTGAGAGTTAAGAGGTGCTCGTAGAGGGTTTCGTTGGAGAGCACAAATTTTTTGCACAGTGCCATGGTGGACGGACAGTAATGGATAGTGCTGTGGGAGTGTGTCGCGTCTGCCAACCGTTGTCACCTTACATACAGGGCTTCGGAGAACACCGAGCGATCTGGATTTGAGTGTTTAAGCGCCCAACCGGCCCGGGCCCGCCTTGATGGCATTTGGAAAGCGAAGGCCAGACTAAAGCGATAATAAACCAATGTGAAGCTGAGACGAAATACTTTCAAGCCCAGATAGCTAGGATTTTATACCAATGAGGGATTAAATCACGTAAGGCGCTTGTGTTGGGACGGTCTCACAAATGGTTTGAGACACGTCAATCGCCTATAGACTCCAGGCGACGCGCATATAGGTCACCCTCCGCGAGATGCACTGGATAAGGTGTTTCATCGTCAATGTATACTAGATGATCCGCTCGGTCGCGTCATAGCATTCCCGGTGGGTATCCCAATCCTGGCGGAAGGGAAATTGAACAACGGTATAGAGATAATATTCAAGAAATTTCATCTTCTTTTAACACTCTAACTCCTCGACTACGACATACAGGTTTCCTTGCTTCATAGAAAACTCCTCCACATTTCTTGACCTCTTTCTGGGGGCGCCACTTATGGCAGTGCGTTGCCTTCATATATTGAGCCAGAGAGAAGAGGGTCGACAACTTGCGCAAGTTTTCTGGCGAGGGCTTGAGCTTTGGATGCATCGTTCCACCTACGCGGAAGCACAGTCCTAGCGGAGAGCTCACAAAACTGGATTTGGTTCCAGTGACGATGCGCTGTGCTGGATGCTTGGATTCAGATGGACAGAAACCCGAGCAGCCTTGCAGCAACTGCCTGCAAGAAGGGAAAGGGCATGAAAGGATTCAAAGGAGGACTGCTTGGACGTCACTTTTGTCTCGTGGAATATTAAATAACTCCTGTAGCTAAGCTGGAGAGAAAGACGACTTAGGAGACGAGATGAGGTGGTTACGATTTCAACGCTCCGAAAACCATATTCCAACATGCAGTCCGGACCGCCAAGCGTCACTGGTCACCTCTAGTGCACGCCTACGCAACCTGCTGCCCGTAATTGACTTAAGGAATCTTGTCAAATCCTTCTCGGACACGCAATGCCTTTACTCAGTCTAAGGTAACAAAAAGGACTGTTTCGTTGCTGGCACATATATGAAGTACACCTTGCCTATTTACATCGACGACGGGGGGGGGTCAGATCTACGTCACGGTCAAAGGTTATATACCTCATCGAAAACACTCATGGGCCCTTGCATTTTTCTTATGATGAAACCGATACCGGTGGTGCAAGCATATTCACCTCCGTCTGAGAGACTTTCGCCTGGTCGATCAAATATAAGAGTGTTGACGTATTCTCGTCGCATCTATGATTCAGGAATGAGCAAAGAAATTCACGACCGAGACAACACAGACGAAAAAAGGGTAAAAGGTCATACAGCACACCTGGGTGCGCAAGTTATGACCGATGGGGGCTAACGATCACAGAAGAAATAGATGGAACGATGCACTCACAATTTTGATATAGATTGTTCGAAGTCGCCCAGGCCTTTCTGCAAGACCCTAAACACACTGGCAAATTCGCCTGAACGATCCCTCAGAAGTCGTCCATGAGCCATGAGTAACGTATTGATCCACACAAGATCGAACTCGAGATGAGGGCTCTTGTCGAGGTGCTCGCCAACGAACCGGAGAAGCAGGGGTACGTACATGACAGGGAGTTGCCGTGCGATGAGGCGAATATCACCGCGCGGAATGCTCTCATACACTCGCTGGATGAGGGGCTTCTCGTTCAATCGGAAGGCCATGACGAGTGCTTTGAGATATTCATGTTCCGTCAGGACTTCGAGGACAGCCTGGGGTGTGAGGTCGATGGAAAGGTCGAAGGGATCGAACGTCACGGTCTCGTCGAGGGAGTAGATGAGAAGGCCCTCTGTCGAAGCTGCTGCCCAGGCTCGACCCGTGGGCGAGAACCGTACACATTTTGCGCGTGCTTCCTGGCGATATCGACGAATTGACATATCTCCGGCTCCACGGCTCGCACCTGGAAGGCTAGTATCCATTCTGTCTTCAAGGTCGCTCCCATCCCTGTCATCAATGAGGTCGACGTTAATCCCTGCGTCGTTAATCCTACGGCTGTCAAGGAACTCTTCTGTGCCGTCCAACGAAAGGTTCTGGGAGATCTGGAACTTCTTGACCATGACACCCTCTCCTTCTCGCACGTCATACAGGACGACATATTTGCTATTACCACCCGCAATGAGGCAGCGGCCGTCTGCAGTGTATGCCAGACTGTTGTACGACTTGCCAGAGGCGTTGTTGGCAGCAGACACCCGATCGTCCAGCTTTCGACCACCAGAGACGTCCTTGCGACCATCGATGACATTCGTTTGCTTGCTCTCTTGGATGTCAAAAAATGTGATCTGGCCGTCGAGTGTCGATACTGCCACTTCTTTTCCATCGGGCCGGAAGGCGAGGGCCAGGCAGTCGGAGTTCAAGGAGAAAGGCTCCACAGCACCAGAACGACCGAAGATGTTCCACACCCTCATCGTCTTGTCCCAAGATACGCTAGCCAGCTGATTGGCGCCAGAAGGCGAGAAGGCGAGCTGGCTAACTGGACCTGTGTGGCCTGCCAGAACATCGAGCAGTTTGCCTGTCTGGACGGACCAGAGGAAGACCTCGAAAGAGTCAGTCGAACCAGCGGCGACAACTTCTCCGGATGGATCCACCGCCAAACACGAGAATTGAACAGGTGAAGGGGATGTGAAGGTTCGGAAATTGCGATATCGAACGAGGTCATATGCTCGAACGGTGCCATCCAACGAGGCCGAGAAGAGGACGCTGCCTTGCTTTGCAAAGGTTACTGACGATATCGGTGCACTGTGTTCGGTAAAGGTGACAAAGCAGAAGCTGGAGAACGTTGACCAAACTTTGAGTTTGCCGTCATCGCCGCCTGTGGCAATCGTCTGTCCATCTGGTGCGTAGGCGAGCGTGTTCATGTCGAAGTAATGCCCTTGTTGCTTGAGAACGTATGATTCTGACTGCCATTCCCAAACCAGGAGTTGACCGAGCTTCTTCGCGCCGAAAGCTAGCCATTCTCCGGATGGGTTAATTGCAACGGAAGATATTTTTTCTTGAGAGATGCTGAGGGTATGGATGTTAGAGAATGCGGGCATTTCCCACAATCCGAATATCCCTGAAGAGAATCCAACAACCAGAAGATTCGAAGGGGCATGGAAGGTGGAACAGATGACCTTGTTCCCTGCACGGTTGAAATAGTTCCTCTTGTGGACGCCCCATCTTGTGTTGGCTATTCGGTTGGCGACGTCTTTTGAGCTCGAAGCACTTGGCTGGTCATCGGTGTCCGAGTTATCGTCGTCTGACATTTCTTTTGCCTTCCACGTAAAGACGGCACCATCTTTGCTGACGGTGTAAATCTAGGGGTAAGATGGTTCATATAGGTAAAGGGTGCCGAGGAATGCACTGACTGATTCTCCATCAGCAGAGAAATAGGCACCCAGGACAGCATCACGATGGCCAGCGAAAGTTTTTGGTCTGAAGCCTTCGAGAGGGTTCAAAGTAAAGAGGCGGGCAGTCATGTCACGAGATGTTGTGATGAAGCACCTATCGCCCATGCTTAGCTGTTGAGGAATAGGGAGCGGGAAGTCCTTACTTGGAATCTGGGGACCACTGAATGCTCAAGACATCGTCATGATGTCCCGTGTACGTTCTATGAAGATTGAAAGGTGCGAATTCTCGAACGAGGTGGTTTGGCGTTCTCCAAACTTGCACATGAGCACCATGCGTAACGGCAATATATCTTGTAGGCACATGATGTTAGAATATTCGCGAAGCAGAACGCCAGACACGACGTACAGTCCATCTCGCGAAAACTGGATGTCTTTCACAGGCTTCTGGAAGTTGAAGTGATGTAGCACCACCCCTCGTCGCGCGTTGACCAACAGAGCGCGACCATCTGCCAACATGGTCTCAGCATAAAATTTCCCAGTCATACTGATAGATGGGCAGGACCTTCATCTACCGAAATGAGTACATTTCCGTCAGGACTGAGAGCAATGCAGGCTATGTTCTTCCGGTTCTCAAACGCGAACGTAAAGGACTTGTTGCTGTTTACAAAGCACCAGATTGTCAGCGAAAATAGAGCAAAAACGAACTAGATACGCACTTGACAAGATCGAACACTGAGACTCGATTCCCAACAGGACTGTATAGCGAATTCCCATCGTGACTGAAGACAACGTTCCCTTGTCGGTATACTGTCCCACAGATGCTAGAAAACTACTGGTACCATCAGAAACGCAGTTTCGGAATGGAGGTGAAGAGTGCGCTACCTTGTAGTTCGCCTTCATCTTTTTTTTTCTCTCTCTTGCACAGCCACAAGACGATCAGTATTGCTGATCATCCATCTTATCTTATCTGATATGTACACTCTTTCGAAGCTACAGTACTAGGCAGTAATGCCGGCCCACTCTTCCTCCATCTCCTCCTTCTTGACCGATGTAATTGGCTTGGCTTTTTTCTTTTTCTTTGCTGATACCAACTCGCTACCTGCTTCCATCTTCTTCAAACCAAGCATGGCTTCGTTGACTGAAAGGTCCAGAATGTCAAAAAATACATTTAGGTCGTAGACAAAGGCTCCGAGACTTACACTCTCCGGAAATCAAGTCGTCGACAATAGGCCTGCTGCCAGATGTGATATACTTGGCCGATATCCCTCTGGCGATCAAAGGTTGTGAAAGGAGGTGCTTCAACTCAGCCTTCAATGCTGCCATCTTCCTGTCTTTCGCCTTTCGTTTCTGGGTAGATACTTTGCTTTCGTCGTCTGAATCGCTGTGAAAGTGTCAAATGCAAGTCAAAATGGATATCGGATGAATCAATGGCGAACGCGTCCGAACCTGACAAAGTCTGAATCGAGTTCCACGCCTAACACCTCCGCTGTCTCTCTCATCCAATTCCGATCATGGTTTGTTTTCTTGACTTTATGCTGTGCATTCTCGATCTTTCGCGCGAGCTGCACTCTCTCCTTGAGTTTGTCCAGCATGCTTAGCTCGATACCCATCTCCGAAATCTCACCCTCGTCTACATCGAGATGTTTACTCAACAGGCGGGGACACTTAACTAGTTAACGGAACCTACCTCGGCCTACGCTGCTCAGGAGCGCCCTCACTACGCGGCGTTCATCAGGAGCAACCATGAGCATGCTGAAACCTTTCCGCATCGCGCGAGCCGTCCGTCCATTTCGATGGATGTACGTGTCTGCAGTGCGAGGTATTTGGAAATGGATCACATGGTCGACGGCGGGGATGTCGAGACCTCGGGCTGCGATGTCGGTTGCGAGAAGAACAGAGTTCGGTGTATTCCTGAATCTAGAAACAGAAATAAGACATTATTGAAACATCAACGTTGGAATGAATGTAAGCAAATACGGACCTGTCTAAATTCTTCAACCGTTGGCGTTGTTCTAGCTGCGAGTGTAAAGGGTATGCGTTAATGTTAAGAAGCTCTACCAAGGGCATGAGCCGCCGGATGCCATCGATCGATGAAAGGAACACCAGAGACTTTCCGGGGTGGCGAAGTAAAAAATAGTAGAGGTACACATCCTGGGGAGGTACCGAGTAAACATGGGGCGTAGAAGATACTCTTTCAGTTGTGGCGCACAAACCTTATCGCCAGACAGGCATTCAATTTTGCCTTCCTGCAGAGTTGATACGACACCGCCCTTCGGACTGAGATCAATGATCTCTGGATTTGGATCGCGAAAGTCAAGGCGAAGTAATAGATCGTCTAGAGATATTTGAATCTGAGATCCATGAGTTATGCCCAGCAAGAAAATGACGTACCAAGCGTCGACGCAGGCTTCTCGTCGCGTTCATAATGTTTCTTGCTGACTTTAAACCGTCGCTTCTTTTTGAAGTTCTGTTGAAGGTCCTTGCTCAAAGTGGCGGAGAAAACGAATGTTTGCAGTCCGTCTTTTATTTCTGCCCATGTTTCCTCTTCATCGTCGTCGTCTTCTCCCGCCCTCCCCTCGATATCGTTTGAAATCATGTCTTCTCTGCAGCCGGTAGACCCCGTTAGAAAGATGATCATTTTGGTAATGAATTGAACCAACTTAGATTCACGTTGGGTTAACCTCAAGATATTCTCCAACTCGGCAAAGTGGCCAGCTTCTATCATTCTGTCGGCTTCGTCCAGTACCAAGAATCGAAGATTTTTGACTCCGCGAGCGAGCTCGTCGTCCTATACAAGTGGTCAGAAAGCGTATGTCCAAAATTCCAAGAATACTCACATCTTGGATTATGTCCCAGAGTCGACCGGGCGTAGCAACCAGAACGTCCACGCCTCTATCCAGCACCCGTCTCTGCTTTTGAGCAGACATGCCGCCAACTATAGCCGCTACACTGACATGCGGAGGAAGTTTAGTGGCAGGCTTGCTTGATCCACTGGTCTCTGTCTCAGGCGACTTCTTTGAGAACTCCATTGTGGTTAGGAGCTCGTTCAGATGTGAGGACACTTGCAAAGCCAATTCTCGTGTAGGAGCAAGGATAAGAGCGCGAAGGGAACGCTTTCGAGAGAATGATGGGTGAGGTTTGGAGAGGAGATGGTGTAAGATGGGCAGGCCGTAAGCCAAGGTCTTTCCGGATCCCTGCATCGCCGATGTGAGAAGATAAACATGGAGGCTTTCTAACGCCTTCCCGCACCGTTTGGGCAACACCGACGACGTCTCGGTCGACGAGGGCGAAAGGCAATGACGCCGCTTGAATTGGCGTTGGCTCATGGAACGATTTCTCGTGCAAAGCCATCATGATTTTGGGATGAAGTGGGATTTTGTGCCATGCAGGTAGGAGGTTCTCCGCTACACAAGTGTCTGTGAACTTGTTACATCTCGTGCAGGGGGAGGATAACCTACAGTCGAATGCTGGAATTTCTTCCACAATGATGGGGTCCTCAGGGGTCTCCCCTTCATTTTCTGCTGTGTGGTCGCGGTCATTGTCTTCATCCACCTCTCTGGTACTAGGCGTCTCTTCACTGACCTGTTGAAAAGTCGAGGGGTTCTATGAGCAAGGAAAAAGTGAATCACCTTAAGTTTAAACGTACCCTGAATTTTGCCACTCTTCCTGCGTCTGTCATTTCATATACGACCTCGACTCCCTCAACCTCCTCAAGCTCTAGAATACCATCATCCCCTCCCATCCCCGATTCGAATGGCCGCGAAAATGTTTTCCAAGACAGTTCATCAGCGGTCCGGTGCTGAAGTTTGGCTTTCTTTTTCGAAAAGGGAAGTTCTTTCGTAAATTTGCGCTTTATGCCGGACTTATGAGGCAGCCCGGAAGGCATTTTGGACGACGGACGACGGACGACGGAGGAGAGCACTCAGCAGATGACGGAGTGGCGAAAACTGGAATCGCACAACTTTGATCGCCGTCGGACTTAGTATTTGACAATCCTTTCTCCAGCTCACCACTGGTCAAATTGGCTATCGCATTCTAGCGCTCTGTTAATCTATGGTCCCCTTCTCATACTGTCAATTCAAGTAATCTGAACCCATATCCTTGGTATGACGTTTCTTTTTCCGAAAAGGAAACCGATTTTAAAACTCTCGAGTCTGCTAGTTGTGCCTACTTCTGCTTCGAGAACGGACTCTCCCCTTCTCTTGCTATGACACTGGTCAATACGCGTCGTATTTGACTACCATATTCCACCATCTTATACCAAAGCCATGAAGTCCTTGCGCCTTAGCTGGCGACCTTCCAAACGCGTCGAACGACTACCTATCGCCAACGACTCAGAACCCCCACATCCGTGTCTCCCCTGCGAAATTTGGCGCAAAATAATCGCATACGTCGTGCGGCTAGCAGGAGCTGATACAATCGACCTTGAAGACCCATTTGCGCCACCATCTCTCAACGAAGAGTACCCAGAGGTTGACCCCGGATTATTCGTCGACCGCAGAAGCATTTCTCTCGTGTGTGCCGCGTGGCGAGCTGTTGTCACTGAAATATCGGCAGAGTATCTGGTGATATACTCCGTCAGCCAGCTCAAAAGCCTGGTCAAGCAATTCCAGTCAGAGTTCTACAAGAGAAAATTCTCAAGGAAACGCGTCGGCGAGCGCACTCTCCGCATTGATTTCAAGATTCTCAAGCCGTACAAGCCGATGTTAGCCGTTCGTTTATTCAGGTGCTGCCCTAATCTGCTCGTCTACACCAATAAAAACGGTCCGCCGAATCAACCAGCTAGGTGCACCCCCATGGAAGTCATCAAAGGCCTGGTAGCCTTCTGTTCCAAAACTCTTCAACGCGTCGAATGGGCAGGCCCCGGCGAACCTCCTCGCTATCAAGACCTCGTTCTCTTATGCAATAATCTCCCCAATCTAAGAACACTACGCCTAGTATCAGTCTACACTTTCCCCTTTCCCGACTCTATCCACGCCCCTCCTTTATTAGTCCTTCCTCACGTCAAGACCCTCTCTCTCGGAGTCATACCAGAACCAAACGAACTCAGGCCAGAATATGCAGTCACATGGGACCCTTTCCTTCGCTACATGTCCACGCACAAGTCCCAACTACCTTCTCTGGAACGCCTTGAATGTGACATATTCCCGACGCTAACCATGTCATTTTTCCTCATGCATGGCCATAAGATCAAGACTTTCCGTACGACAACCTGGTCTGCGGAGACTTCACTGCCCGAGGCGGTTGCCGCCTGTCCCAATCTTCATAGTCTTGTCATCCTGCACGGTAGCGAGGCGATGGATTTTCCTATCTTTCATCCCACTTTGAAGAAGATATGTATCCTTCCAACCATCGACGTCGCTGTCGAGGTGCCGCAACGTGTCTTCAAGTACGCAGTCATGGCGCCGTTAGATTATCTGCTGAAGACTATCGAAAGGATTGAAGCTCCGCACCTCGTAGAGCTGCGTGTAAGGAACTCGGGTGCTTTTTCGAAGATTGTGGACCAGACGGCGTGGCTCAGTTTTTGGAGGGCGAAATGGGGTGCGAGAGGAGTTCAATTTCGTGACATGAGTGGAACGTTGTACGGAAATGCTCAGGATTGTGAGTTGTTTTCCGTAGGCCACGGAAATGCAGGTATCTGACTGACTCAAATTTCAGCACTCTCAGTTGGCGAAGACCCTCTTGATTCCATCGAGGGTTAATTCGTTACCCCTCTTCAACTAATTTATAACACAACATGACCATCCTTTCCATACTTCTTCAAGGTCATTTAGCCTAAACACCCTATAATGTTCTTTATTCCTAGTTGTAGCACTGTGGTACTTTTGCCTGCATCATTGTTCCTTCGATACAACTAATGCAGATTTGCAGTTTTCATAATTCACTGTCTAGCAGCCGAATCGTGTATGCATTGCAGGATTCGTCAAGAAAGCTTCTAGAAAACAAGAGAGAGATAAAGACTAAATCTATGTGAAGATCATGCCTATACAATATGCAGGATGTGGGGCTTAAACGAATCGAACGCCGAGTCCGTTGTTGTACAAAAGGAATAAAGAGGGTTGCAGCTGTGGAACATTGGTGATGGGGTAGGGTACGGTTGACAGCATCTAGCGAATCAAGAAGCTCTGGAACACTGTAAGGGCACACACGCCTGCGCATACGACAAATCCAAAATAAAATCCAGATGGCCCGTCCTGAACACTCGCCTTCCAGAGCTACAAACATTCAAAGACAAATCGGTTCACATGGTCAATGCAACAAGAGAAGGAAAGACTTACATAACCACCAATCACTGGCCCAATACATCGTGCAAGACTGACGATACTTTGCGCGATACCGTTGGCGTATCCAACAGCAGGTGGTGGCGTCACTGAAAGAGAGTTGAATGAACATAGTATGAACAAGAACTATTGCTGCATAGGCAGCTACATACTGTAGTTGAGAAGAATGGCGATTGCAGTGTACCCAAACGTAGTTCCACAAAAGCGAACAGCACTGCAACGAAATTAAGAAATCGAGGTGAAAGGTGCACAATCTGGCATGCTTACGTGCTGATGGAGAGTACTAAAGGACGAGATGAGCAACATTCCCAAGGCCCAGAAGAGAACTTAACGAACCTGTCATGAGGAAAAGAGTGCTGCCTTCAGGATTAACATGGGCGAAAGGTCGATATAGAACAACAGTAAGATAGGCTGGAATAAACATGATGGTTCCAATACGGAACATGGCTAGATGCGAAAAGCGACCACGAGGGGGCCTGATATTGCTGTGAGCAATTGCAAATTTTGCTCGTTCAGCTGGGATGACCTACCCGATATTTCTAGAAAAGGGGGGTTGTGAAAACTAATTATGAAGGAAGAAGACAGCACTAACGGATAGAGATAAAACTGATAAGCGATTTGCGCAAGACTCATAAGAGCGATTAGCTGTGCGAAATGTCCAGCATTAAGATTCAGTCCTCCAGATTCATAATCTCTGAACGAAAGAAGTCAGCCACGGTAACGGGATAGCATCGACAGATTGTACGCACGAAACGAGATAGGACATGAAAATCTGGTCATGCGTCGTCGTATGTAGCGCCATGACACCATATTGTACAATGACGACCACTGGGAGTTGCGACATAATGGAGGGAGGCGGCTCAGCGAGAGACTCGACATCACCCTGCGATCCTGGCCTTGATTCCGAGATCGTGGCCAGAGGGTCAGCAATCAAAGGAGAGGCATCGACATCTAGGCTTAGAAGGAGCTGTTGGGCATCGAGTACCGCTGCTGGTGTCTTGACTCCAGAATGGGAGAAGATAGATGGTACGCCAGTTGATGGACGGCGTGGTGATCCTGGAGTGATCATTGGGGAAAATGAGACAGAAGGACGATGCGGTCCTGGGGAATGAGGCCTCAGAGGCGAAGAACGTGCATCGGCACGTCTCGAGCTCGTCATACTTGGTCGCTGGGTTCTCGGCAAACGAGCTATTGGCGATGTCGTCGAGGCTGCTAGGTTGCCCCTCTCTGAGTCTGGCAGTGTCCCAGAGAGCTTTGTCGCGACCAAAGGCTGGTCAAGGACGGCTGAATCAGCATCGTCCTCGGTGTCCGAGTCGGATTCGAAAGGATCTTCATTGTCAACGTTCATGGCTGCCGCAACCCACAGATCAGCAATGTTCGTGACCGCATTCTCGTTCGCGAGTAAAAGGCGCTGGGCGAAGTTCAGGTCTGGAGGATGCCCCTCTGCTGCTGGGTCCCTGACGCTATCGTAGTGACTTCCTCTCCTGCGTCTCAGAGAGCTGTTGAGACTGCCTCGGCGGGCATTAAGGGTTGCATTGCTCGCCAATCTGTTCCGATAGCTTCCACTATATCCGTAAGCTGATCCGTTCGTTCGACTTGTCCTTGAGAACGTTCTTGTACGATCCAGACGGGTATTGGGCGTCGATAGAGGTACAGCAGGCTGAGAAATTGGAGATCCTGGTGCATGACTTTCGAGAACCCGCTTCGCGAATAGGTTCGAGAATCGTCGCGAAAATTTCCTTTGCAATCCAGCAATACCACGCGGTTCATCCTCTTCGAAGACTGGTGTTTGCGGCGACATCTCTTCTTCTGGAATAGGGGCATGGGTTGTGAATTTCTCGGGCAGAAGGCGGATGGCGCCCTCTCGCGGCCCACCATCACGTCCAAGGAACAGCGAGAGAATGGAACCTAGAATAATGCTTCATATAAATGAAGATCACACGCCTGAGGAACGTACCGATGAGTGTGATGAGGGCGGCAAGCCCACAAGGGAGAAGATAAGGGTAGGTCACGAACAGCTGTACGTCACCGAAGACGTCCGGCCACTTAACAGCAGGCCTCTCGACTAACGTAAAAGTCTACCTTAGTGAAAGCAGATTAGGGACCTTATCAACTTACAGGAGCCTCCAATAATTGCGCCTGCTACACCACCAAAACCCCAGCAAAACCTGGGAATTTCCTGAACATCAATGAACGGCGTAGAATGAGGGAGGAATTGTTCCGAACCCAAGAATAGCGTATGCCCTGCCTTCATTGCTCGGATCTGTAACAAAGGTGACGGAGCCACGCGCAACCCCAACAGCTCCAGCGAAAATGCCTTGAAGTAACCGGATGCATACCGCCTGTTGAAGGGTTGTCGCAGTGCCAAAGCTCAGACATGTGACGGCGGAGCCCAATAACGAGATTGTCAGCACTGTTCTCTGGCCATGTTTCTCAGCGATCGTTGCCTGGTTGAAAACATTTCAAGATGGCCTTCTGTGAGAGGTGTCCTTGGAGAACGTACCCATAGCAGGGAAGTGAGAAACTGTGTCAGGAAGAATGTCGCGACTGAAAATACAGAATGAGCAGAACTTCATACACCCCACAAATATTTACTCACCCAGGATGCCTGTCCAAAATGCCACCTCCGCTTCATCCGCAAACTCGCCAAATCCTGCAACAGCCTCAATACGAGTTCCCGTAAGGTATCATGAAATCTACCTTTCACCATAAATAATAGGAAAGGTGTCGAGACATTGGCCGATAAGAATTCTCCCAGCATAGTCTAGCCATAGATCAGTGGATTAAATTGTTTCCGATGGCATTTACGACTCACAATGGATAATACAATCATCGACAGCTTCGGCAAAGGGGTCGAATACACCTCACCGGAAGCTTGCATAGTTGGAATGGGCGGTCTCTCTGAGCCCGGTGTCGACGGTAATGCTCCATCTTCATTCCTTGCAGTCGTGAAACTGGGCCTTAGCTTGTTAAACGAAATGTGGCCGAATATTCGACGCGCAGTCGATGGTTGGTCGTCATCTCCGGGTTCCAAGGTAGGCTCAGCGCTCCCGAACGACCTCACGGGTACCGACGGCCGCCTTGAGCCTTGCGTACTCATTTTGGGGTGCTATGGAGCAGATTGGCCTTCTGTCAACGAAGCAGATGGTGGTAATGAAGATGGAGGACGGCGAGCGCTACAGCCCCGCTCGCCGAGAATGGCTCCGTGTTTGGCGACGGCAGCATAGCAATCTTCCCACGCTTCACCTTTGAGCGTCTTTCGAGTTGGAGTCTTCCTTTTCAACATCTAACCCCGCTGAAGTCCCCGCAAAGACAGGCTACTGCACGCACATTTTTGCTACCGCTCAATAAGCCTCTATTTCTCTGCACCTGGCTCTTCTCTCTTTGCGGCCGCCGGGCCAGGTTTCTTGAACGGCCGCGTTGACGATATTTCGTGCGCTGCACAGTGCAATTATTTTCCTTACCTCAAAATTATGGAACAAGATTATCTGTGTCATCTGTCTGTCTATAATGAGTCTTCACTATTCTTCACATCGCCTCTCCACATTTTCGCTCCCTGTAGACGAAATATCCGGGTGTTTGTCATGGTTTTCTTCGACCTTACCTGAGCCATACGTAAGTGGCCACTTCTTTCTCGCGTTTTATCCTGCCTAAATTCCCTCTAAACCATTGCAGGCCTCTGAACACTTCGAGTCTCTCAAACGTTGTTTGTCAAAAGCCGCCTTCTATGACAATTCCGTATGCTCAACGGTACATACGTAGCTCGAAAGTTTGAGCATTTCTTCTCTTGTCCAAGCAAGCTCCGGATAAGTAGTGAGGAAATCACGGAAAAGGGTCCCCAATATGTGAACCCACAACAAATCTTCGCAAGCTGATTTCTACGGTAGATGAGAGTGCTTGCCTCCGTGCCCTCGTCCCAGTGTCCTCCGGAAGTCACCCTACCATCGGATGCCACTGTTGGTCCGCAAATGCATCTTCGAGTTTTTAGCCATTGTGGTATCTCGAGCAGGGCATTTCCTTACTTTTTCCTATGTCGCGCTTGAGTTTAGAAGACAGTAAGGCGCGCTCCCTTGATTGCCGAGTGCTGGGTACCCGAAGAGACACATTTTTCTAGACCATCCGTTGGTTCCGAACGGACTCGATCCGAATGGCTCGCGATTGTACCCTGGACCAGATCACTATTTGCCCACTTTTGCGACCGAAAGGCTGAAAGATCGATAGCATGCTCCGTTTAACTATGGAAGACTTAGGCTGTCCGGGGTTGTATATTAAAATGTCCCGGTCCCAGAAAGCTTACATGAGAGCCGACATTCTCTCGGTCAAATAATACCGCTGATAGATAGTCGAGGGATATCGATAGCCCAGTAACTACTAAAGTGGCTATTCCTGTCGCATCTAATAGTGTTTCTTTGCACGCCATGTGTACGGAGGGCTCACGGCAATCAATTTGTCCCGAACTAAGGCATCCAAACATTGAAGCGCGGTTACAGCGCCCGTTCGTCACTTCAACCACTGCCTCCACCGACGTCGCTCCTGGTCTAAACACGAAGGCGCCCAATCCTGACAGCACCGACGTTCCTGAGTGCCGACACTTCCAGTCTTGCTTATGGTGGCGCCGGTGTAGCCAGATCTAGCCAAATCTAATGAAATCGCCACCAGAACGGGTTTTCATCTGTCACGCTGCTCGTGCATTGTTCAAGGGAACGAATACATGTGCGTGAGGACTTGATGTGCACAAAAACGAATCCTGAAACACGATTTCGATTCAGGAAGTGTTTTTCCATGGCTTCGCATGATCATCTGGCCTTCTGGATGTCTGCCATTATTATCTCCATGACTCGAGCCGTCTACCGCTAAACCCATCAACGAACCGCCCGTTTCGCATGTGTCGTGCGAGGCACTCGACCTATTATCGACATATCCTCAAAGAGGGATGTGTACACGTCCCGGCTCCGATCTAGAATAGAGATCTGGCTAGGCGGCGGTAACTCCTTCCATCTCCTCCAGATCCTCGAGAATGCATCTGGCGTTTTAAGATTCTTTTTCCAACACTTTCGCGGGAGCTACGCGCATCGAATTTTGTACTGGGCCACTCGGCGTGCTCAGAGGAGATTCAAACGGCCAAGGTTATGCGAGGTGAAGCCTGAAACCTTGTTGGTGAAAGAATTCAGCCACCCGAAAGAGGTTGTCAATTTACCAAATTAGAATCCGACCGATCGCATATCTCCTCCTATAAAACGTGCATTCCGCAATCCTCTGAATCTTCCACCCTCATTCGTCTCGCCCAGCTTCGTTCCCCATCCGGTCCTTACACCCCTCCTCGCTTATATACCCCTCTGGTTCTATAACCTCAGGGCCTTTTCTTCCCGTGCAGCCACCCACGCTACTCTGTCTACCCACTCCAGGATGTGTGCCTCCGCCACGCGCCCCCAGCCATCGGCGTCCAACAACGTGAAGAAGATTATCCTGCCCGACCTCGTCTCACATTGCACCTTTAAGCTTCGTCATAATCGCCACAGGAAACAAGTTACCACCGAGACGAAGAAGTGGCTGTTCAAGGACGGCAATCTCCTAGGCCAGAAGGAAAGGGCGTACCACGGACTCAAATGTGGCCTCCTCACATCTATGTGCTACCCGGATGCAGGGTACCCCCAACTGCGCGTCGTCAACGACTTCCTCACCTATCTCTTCCACCTCGATAACTTATCAGACGAGATGGACAATAGGGGCACAACCACGACCGCTGATGAGGTTCTAAACTCTCTCTACCACCCTCACACTTGGCGTTCGTCGGCGAGAGTTGGGAAGATGACGCGGGAGTATGTCCTCTACTTCCTCGCCTCATGGCTCCACCTTAACTGATATATCCGCCCTGAAGTTTCTATAAGCGGCTCGTTCTTACAGCGTCGCCTGGGGCTCAGCAGCGTTTCATTGAGACGTTTGATTTCTTCTTCCAGAGTGTAACTCAACAAGCTTTGGATCGTGCGAGTGGAGTAATACCCGACCTCGAGTCTTACATCTCCCTGCGTCGCGATACCTCAGGCTGCAAGCCCTGCTGGGCGATGATCGAATGTGAGTCGTCCTAGCCTGTTCCGTTACGGAGTTTGTTATCCTCACGCTTTCTTCCAGATGCAAACAATCTCGATATCCCTGATGAAGTCATGGATCATCCCATTATTCGCAGTCTCGGAGAAGCTACGAACGATTTGGTGACATGGTCTAACGTAAGAAAGACCCAATTTCATCGTGATGCACATCCTGAACGTCATCTCCTAGGACATCTTTTCCTACAGTGTAGAACAGTCGAAGGGGCATACACATAATATGATCCCCGTGGTCATGTACCAAGAAGGCTTGGACCTTCAAGCTGCCGTGGACTTCGTCGGCGATATGTGCAGGCAGTCGATCAATCGCTTTGTTGAGGAAAAGGCGCGTCTTCCTTCATGGGGCCCTAAGATCGACCAGGACGTGGCCATCTACGTCCAAGGTCTCGCCGACTGGATCGTCGGTTCTCTCCACTGGTCCTTCGAAACAGAACGCTACTTTGGCAAATCAGGCCGCCAGGTGAAGGCCTCACGGATAGTTGACCTCCTTCCCAGACAACGGTTACCTTAAAGCATTTTTCGTGAGCTGGCCTTCCATTTCCTATCATAGTCCAAGCTGATGGTTCCTTCCAAGCGTCTCACCTCAACTCTTATTTTTGCTTAATTTATTCTCATCTTGAATACGCCAGGAATGCGCCATAGACAATCAGCCGAAATCACCACACCGTACATGTAACACCAGGTCTGACAGCCTTTGGTATTCTTCCCCGCCTGTCAACGTTTCGACTCTCGATCCGCTCTTCGCTCCCCGTTTTCTCATGTATCTGCCCTCATCAAGAGCGGCCAGGCTTCCCTCCTCTATGTATTGATACCCGCCTCCAGCTAGACACTTCTCTTCTGCTCCATCTTCCAATTTCCTTTCCTTATCTTCTTCCTTGCATTCCTCATCACCACCCACATTCATTCCAATTTCTGCATCACACCACATTCCTTCATTACAGTACAATTGATTATCCGTTAGATACCTTTTCCTGTACCTGTACATTGACCTGTACTTTTACCTACGCTCGTTTATTAGTATTAGTATTGTATGCTAAATCGACTACTTTCCTTTGTTCTCCCCCCTCGGACTTGTCATCATACGAAACGCCCATCATTTCCCTGGAGAGCAACGAGCAACTCAGTTCCAGCAATGATCAATGACACCTCATATCTGAAGCTGATATGTCGACCTGATCGGCTTTCACTTTCAGCATCTCATAGTCATAGCATCGCGGTGACTGGGATTGGTGTCCTTGTACTCCCACCACTCACTTCTTCTAAGTACTTAATATCGACTCGAACTTGAACTCAAGGAGAGATCGCCGTTTTCTATTCGTCGACAGAACAAAAAGGACTGTCAAGAAGTTGATGCTGCAGTGCAGGCTATTTTTACCCTTTCTGTCCATTCCAAGAAGACATATCTGGCCGCGCCGGGTGCCAGTGGAACTTCCCAACTCTCGGCAGAACGACGGTCCGATCACACACGTGATCTGGTCCGTCACGGCTCGTGGACGGTTCGGCACAGCCACCGGCGTCTCCGGGCCGGGGTACTGTCTTCCCCTCTGTCACCCCGCGTTGCGCGTGTTTGTCTCGGGGCCCTTCGTCTCCCGCGCCGTCTATCGCTCTGGGATGGCTGACACAGTGACATGCCCTTCTTTTTTTCCCTAGGTCGGCAGTCCCTCCGGCTGTCTCACGGGCCATCGACGGCCTGCACAACAACGGCTGGCACACGTCCCTGTTGGGATGATCGGCCCCTATCATGGGCGTCTCCACTGCCACGGGCGCCTACGCGCTCGTGCTCGTCGTCGCGTTCCTGTGCGGCTACGCGCTCGGCGCTCGGCACGGTCCTGCCTTCCGTCAGGGCGCTGCAAAAAAAGTGGGACCCGCCCCAGCCCCAGCCCCTCCTGTCCGTGCAGCGTGCACCCCACCGCCGCTGCCAACACACGCACCAGGAAGCCAAGAAGACCATGAGGCGGTCCTCCGTTGGGTACGTCAATACCCAGTCTTCATATGTGGTACTCAGGCTAATCACACCCGTGGCATAAATATTAGGCAAGCAACATTATTTGCATGTACTCCTACAAGACAAAGGAGGAGCGCATTGCCATCAGCAAGGCCCGACGCACAGCGGCTCGTGCTGCAGCCGAGGGGGCTTGAGGCCTAGAATTACATACACAATAGCTTTATTTAGAACGCTCTGTAAATACATAAATGCACGATCCGACTAATGAAACTGTCTTTTGATGGTTGGAGACCGTCTTTTATTTGATGAACCGTTGGTTGTCAGTCCAGATATAGTTAAAATTTGATGAAAAGACGTGCCTCGACTGTCCTTTTTTTGACCAACCGTCCTTTTTGTGGCCCATGACGGCTTCGGAAATTGATGGCCAGTTCATCAAAGACGGTTTTTCGAGCGGCTTCCCTGCAAGTGTCACACTGGCATGGCAGCTCACCTCGTTGGCTCAGGCTCCCAGTTCGGATCAACGTACGTAAATTACAACGCGCACGCAACGCGTGCGTGTCAAGGACACAATATCTATACACATCAAGTCATCCTAGCTTTCCTCTCTTCCTCTCCCACCAACACACCCCATTTCAAGAACAGCACAATGCACCCCTTCATTGTCAATATGGTATCAAAATTTAGGTAAGTTATTTACATTCTATTCCTTCCTTATTCTTCTCCCCTTCCTTTCCTCATTTCCCCTCGGCGACGCGCACGCTCAGCGCTCGTGCACCACATCAGGCCCACGCGGCCTTGGTTTGAGTGATGGGACGCTAAGCGGGGAACCAGCCCGTCTCGCGCCCACCTCGTGCCCGCCGTGGGCTGAGCCCCACGGGTCGGCAACGCGGCTCGCTCGTTTGGGGCGTCCGCGTCACACCGTGACGAACCGTCCTTTTTGGCGGTCCGAGCCCTACTTCCCAAACTGCAGCGGTTTGACAGTCACAAGGTACCATTGACAGTGGACAATGAAGAGCTGCATATGCTCCGCAGGTCGTAACCCCAGAACGGGGCAAGATCCTGTCATCTTCGCCTGGCGTTCGCCGACTGATGCAACAGACCAAAGCCGCAAACCCATGGTCCTATCGTACAGTATTCAGGCGGCCTTGTAATCTGGGCGTCGCCATCCATACAGTTCGCAATCTGCACGTCAGCCAAATCGAAGAGGCATCTGCCCTCCTGTCTGCCCTATGTCACGTCGTCGGGAGTCGCAGGGAGCATTGCAATGCTTCGAGGGCCATCTGAGGCACCAGAGCAAAAATAAATGGGTTGTCAACGAGTCCAAACTCTTGAGGGTTAGGCCAAGCGTCTATAAGGGTACACAAGAAGAGGCTTACCATCGGCCCGGGCGCTGCAGTCTTCAACAAATAAGGACATCCGCGAAGGGTGACGAGATGTGTTGTTGGAAATTTATATCTGGTATGCCGCCGAATGGACAGAAAGTTTCCGGCGAGGCTTTAGCTCCAAAGGTCCGAAGAACTGGTGCTTGCGAGGCCGCTTGAGGATGCTGCCCCATCCTGAATTTCCGTTACATCGATAAGAACAGAGCCTCGTTAGTCGTGTTCTCATGTTGATAATTTCATCCAATCAGAAGACGAGGTCGGAAGGACAATGGCACCTCCACTGACACAGGGCGCATTACCCCAAGGGCAGGGGCATAAGACGAGCTATGACGAGACGTTCTCCGATCTGTTCGAATCCATGCCAGGTTACAAGCGGCCGCGGTATGATGCTGAGCAAAACTATCAGACGAGGTGTATATGTAGGACGAGACGTTATACACAAACGAACCCTGGTCCAGCGCCATGGGCTTGCAGCTCTAAGGAGTCTTGAGGTTCTCTCGGAGCTGACCAACGGATCCATGAAATCGAGAAATACCTGGGGTTCGAGGTGACGAGGAAACCTGATTGTCGTTGGTCTAGACTCTCCTAATAATACAACGAGGTTAGCTATACGGTGAAGACTCGGAGTAGGCGTCGATTTGGATTAGCGCGATGTCCTCCAACCAACCAGTCGTCAACAATTTATCGTTCTCGTCATGCAAAAGGCGCCTAGTACAGTGACAAGTCTTCAAAGCCCTTCACTGTCGGAAGCGATAAGAGAAGACGCTCGGAGACAGTCGGGACCGCTCAAAGAACGAAACGCGGGGAAATAACCTATTAAGTGATCAGCAATTGTCCAACACGGGGTTTCGTCATTCAATTATCTTGCCGAAGAAGAGAAGTGCAGGAGGATTGATTGTGGCACGACAGAAGTCGTGTGTTAGAGACACCGTTCGGTGACAATGGCTTGATGACGGCGATGATGACGATTATATTGTGCAAACTAGATATCTGCGGGGATTAAGTCGGGCGAAACACGGAGGAATGTGCACGACTGTGTAAACGGAGCGAGGAGAAATGGGTCTATGGTCCTGTGCAGAAAAGATAAGGCAGGGTAACGATGTGGCGAGAATATACTCACTAAGGTGTGGGCCAGATTTGTTCTCTGAATACCCAAGGGCCAAGAACCCATCCTCTTTTCTCCAAAACGAGGTACTCTGTCACTCGTCTCCGTACGGCGGGCACCCGCCAATTCTCCAGTTTCTCGGCACTATCGACCATGTAGTTGGGTTCAGGGGCAGGGGTGTGAAGCGCAACGCCACGGTCGCTGTAGATCTCCAAACTCTGTCGAATTTCCCCGGTGGTTTAGACGCATACACTCGGACAATTTGTGAGAAAGACCTACCTGTTCCGTATCGAATTTCACTAGCGCATGAATTAATAACCTGTTGCCAAATCGCGGCTCCTTGGCTTCGAGATAACCTTCTGTCACACGGAGAGATACCACCTGTGTGGGGTCAACTGTCCGGTGTAGCTGCCATATGTAACGTCCTTTGGGGTTTTTAGTTCTGGAAGCTTTCACCAATTCAAGGCATTGGTTTTGATAATCGAAGGTCGTGCATTTCCTGATCATTTTATCATTTCGACTGGAGGAGAACTGAGTTCAGCACATCGAATCATACAGTTGGAAAATGGAGAGATACGTACGTCGCAACAGCGGTATTAAGTTCCTGGTAAAATTCTAGTGCGGCCTGCCGGAATGAGGCAAGCAGCGAGTCTGGCTTGGTTGACTGAGTGTCAAGAGCCTTGATGGTTTCCCGCAACTTAGCCCTTAAGCTCGAGCCGCTTCCGAGATCAACGAGGGGAACGGCATTTAGGTTAGTTAGTGTAGACAGCCTGATGGTAATATGAGGACAGATGTGGATAGCGGCCGGCCAAAACCACCTACGCCGTGAAGTTCTTGAGCTTGTTGCTCATGTTTGCTTTTATCCGGGCATAATTATCTTTCGACAGTGTAGTGTAGCTAACCGGATACGGTATCATGACGTCTTCCTTGTAGAATACGCTTCAGAGAAAACAAAGCATACAGCAGGAATGGGAACGCACCAAGTGTGTCCAATATGTCCTGCCCCCATGGATCTACCATTGGCATCATATCCGACAGCGCCAACATGCGCTCAAACTCCTTCACCCTCTCCTCTTCAGACAGCTCGTCATATTTTTTGGTGCCCTTGGTCGACGGTTTCTCGGCAAGATGGTCAATAGGTGGTACGGTCTCGGCGGCATGAAGTGCTGTCTCCATTTCGGGTGACGTTGTCTTTTTCGGAGGCGTTCGTGAAGCAGCTTTCTTTGGAGGAGGAGGAGGCTTCGTGACCTTTCGCGTCGATTTGGCCGTGGCTGGGCCCTTCTTGTTCAACGTAGCACTGGAGGTAGCATTTCGGCATGTCGCAGGGATTAAACTGGGATGGGCGTAGGCTGAACAAACAGCTGCTCGGGACGACGACGCAACGCGTGCTACGACAGTATGACGGCTGAGTATGCGGCCAAGATAGCTCCCCGAGGCCGCGAACGCCATTGTAGTGATGCCGGACAACAACGTCAACGGTGGTGGAAGGTCAAGAGCTCAACGCTCCTTGATCTTGAACCACTATGTGGTCTCGATTTTCCCACGCTAGTGGGGGGGAAAGGGAGAGGCATTCCCGCTGTGTTTACCCAGCGCCGGAACCGTTCCTCCCTAAAGTCGACAGCGTTCGTCGCCCCACCTACCCACTGCACTGCGCGGTGAACCCCAAGACATGCTTGACAAGAATTCACGCCTAACCCCGCAACGTCATCCGGCTCGACGAGGGCGCGTCCACCTCTCACTAGCCTGCAAACGCCGCACCCACCCTGCTGTCTGGCGCCAATATGGCCCAACCGCCGTTCAGACACACTAGTTCATCCCACCCTGTCGTCTCGTCACCGTCCACCCAACATTGACACCGACACAGCTCGCCCTTCCGTGACGACCGTCACGCGGGCACCCCACTTGCCACAGTACCATCCATCTCCCCTGCTGCAAGAAGAGGCAAACTCCTCGACGACAGAATCATCTCGACTCCTTCCATTGTCTGTCACCATTCAACCACTCGAAAACTGGCGTCCCTCCCTGTGACCAGGATGGCTTTACGTACCGCAAAAATGGAGGGCGGCATGCATCTGCGCCATGGATCAGCACCATGGATCTGCACCATGCCCGGCTGAAATGCAATTCCTCCTTCCTGTAGGGACTAGTGTTGGACAACCACCTAGTACAGGTTTGACGGCTGCCAGGTGATGCTTGGAGGTTGGGAGGTATTTTGTATTGTTGAGGATTACAAGGATTGCCTCCACCTCCACCCCCTTCTCCATTTTCTTTTGCTTTTAGCACCTGTTGTACGTGGTGCCTCTCATGGCGTCCTTCATTTTCACTCCCCCTTTTACCCAAATCGCTACTGTACAGCTATACAACCCCCCGATGTCTTGATTTTTCATTCTCAGTTGACATTTGTTTTGCTTGTTAGCATTACTCTCGTAGTTTTTGTCTCCTCATGGGGACGCCACGTCTTAGCACTAGTTTGCTTGTTGCGGGATATAAATGCAGATCCCAAAAAAAAAAAAAAAAAAGGTCAAGAGCTCTGCTCTCAGCTTAATTATTTTTCGCGCGTTCGTGATTGGTTCCATACACGTGATCGGCATCGGCATCGACCGGCCACGCGTGCTGGCTTAGCTTTGGAAATTTCGTGAGCCTTCTCCAGTTTCTTCTTGTTGCTCAACCACCACCATCTAACTCATTCATCGAAATGGCTGTGAGTGCCAACGCATATCGTACGTTCCATGTAGTCTAAACAGCCTGCAGCGTCAATCTCGTAGTCGCGCATCTGCCCCGGCTCCCCGTGCCCCACCAGCTCAATCCCGGGGTGCCCACACTGCGGCGGCTCCTGCAGGATACGCTTCTTCTCCTGCTCATGCTCCAGCACCTCCAGCAGCCGCTGCATCCCACGCTGCACCTCAGCAACCTGGAATGCTCGCTCAAATGGCCGCCACCGCTGGATCTGTAGCAGTTGGTTCGACCATTGGACACGGCATCTCAAGCATGCTCTTTGGCGGATCAAGCACTGCCTCTCATGAGGCTGCCCAGGCTGCCCCTGTCCAACAGCAGCAGTCTGCCATTAACTGCGAAGTCCAGGCGAAAGGTACGTAGGCTTTCAACTATTCGAGTCTTGTGCTCGTAGCTCACTTAGCTCTCCAGACTTCACCAAATGCCTCGACAAAGCCGACCTTCCCTCCTGCACTTGGTATCTCGAGCAATTGAAGGCTGTGAGTTTCATTACTTAAATGTTTCTCGGACCTATAACTCATGAATTACCCTTAGTGCCAAGCTGCTGCAGCCCCCTACTAATTAATATTTTGTCGTGACTGGCGTTAGATTCTGGAGGGGTGGGGATATACGTCGCGCCATACTGTTACTTTGTATGCGTGTAGCGAGTTCTCAATCCATGGAACACCCCACTCATACATTTATAGAAATATAATTCAAGTGTAGCGAATATCTTCAGACATCATGCATCAACCTTCAAAGCGAAGCCCCCCGTTAAATCCAAATGTTTTCATGCCCCGACGCCTCCACCCACGGTTTATTACCCGTCTTAAGCAGATCACGCTGTCATGCGTTAAGTGGAGGGACCAATCGAGTTGAACCCATGAGTGACTACGAGCCATTGAGTGCCATGATTTCGTATCATGATTAGTCTAAGCAAGACTGACTCGATTTACAGTATAACAAACTTCCGCTGGTTCGGATGCTGCTTATACCTGTACTTTCCTGCATGCACCTCGTCCCGAACAATATGGTACACCTCCCGTCCATTGATACAAATATGTGACGGATAGAGCTGAGGGTCGTCAATCTCCCACTTCGAAACGATCGTTTGTGTGGCCTGCTGAACTTGCATTGCGTATCGGCCGACGCCTGCCCCGCACAGGAAACCAATCGACAATTGCGAGCGGCAAATGTACAGCATGTGCAGGCGCTCCTTGCGTGGAGCTGAAATGATCACCCTCTGTGTCTATGGTAAGGCCACAAACGAAGGCAACCAAAAGTGAACTACGTACCAAATCCTCGAGCGCAACTTCAATGGTGTCTGATGGCAAAGAAACGCCAAAGTGGGTGAGGTTCGGACAAATGGCTAACGGGTTGCCCTTCAGCCAGTCAAGAGAGAGGTCACATGGGAACGTGCAGAAAAGGTATAACTCCTTCAAGGATTCCTTATGGAGCGGAATGACCGTCAGGAATAGGTAGTCCGCATCGTCGCAGGCGGGTATCCTGTGCCTGTCCTGGATCGTCAGTCGTCTAAGCCCAGAGAACGAGCTAAGGTAGTCGAGGAGCGGGCGCGTGAAGATGTCGATCGACAGAGACGTCAGTCGAATCCCTGCGGACAGGAATAAATCCCATGCCTCGGCGTCTAAGCTGCGACGCGAATTGCGCAGGTCGAGTGAGGTCAGTGAGCTAAGTTGAGGAAGAATGATAGCATCCAATTCTAACATGATGTTCTGAAGGCGAAGGTGCAATAATTTGAGAGTATTGACCTCGTCGAAGCGCCCCAAAAAGTCGTGGAAGGACATCGAGACCAGCTGGTCCAGGGGCCCGACGATAGTCAGCCGGTCGAGTGAAGGATTTGCGAGGATGACTTCATTGCAAACGGAGGCGAATTTCATGTAATCTGTGTGGTCGTTGAGACGAGGAAGGTATACGCTTAACTTCCGGAGACGCGTGATTTTTCTGAGCTGGAAGACATCTTCGGAAAAGGGGCCGTCTGAGAATGTGAGTCGAAGTTCTTCTAATCCTTGGAGGTTGCTCAGGGCGTCAATGACAGAACTTGCATATCGATTGTCCTTTGGGATATACCAGCTAGCGACGGTTAGAACACAATTGAAATAGTAGAACGAAATGCGGTGCTTACTCGACGCGTCTCAAAATTTCTAGAGAAGCTATAGCCTTGACCAGATACTTGTTGACCATTTGGGATACCTGATCGGCTCCCTTCGAACCATCTGTGGCGTTCAAATCTCTGTTCCAGTTTCCCGTATATCCATTCAGCGCTCCCAGTGGGCCCTTCCAATAAGGATCTAAACAGCTAATCTGAAGGCTCTGCGTGGAATAAGAAGCCGGACTTTCTCCTTCGGCTATAAGCTTCAGATGCCTCGCAGTGCTGGTCTGGTTCTCAGTCTGCCATGGGTGGAAATCGAAAATCAAGGTAGCGAATTGGATGGGCTCGACAGCGGCGTTGAATGCCTTGCACACGAGCCGATATTCGCCTAGGATGGATGTGCGCAGGCGAGAATACTGCCGCGATGGGCCGCGAATCGCCGCGTGCAGCTACGCAGAATGAACGAGGTCAGCGCACGCATTCTTCTATGAGATGGGGATTGGACGCACTTGATGTATTATCTCACGCAGAACCTCTAATGGCAGATCCAGGACGCCAATGACATCCCGTCTATTTGTGGCATCGTTGTCGACAGAATCCGGGTCTGTAAATAGAACTTTGGCTTCAATGGCTTGGTCCCGGACCTGAAGGCAGAGGCTGCCACGGTCCTTGGACATATTTATATCCATGGAACGATGCAATGGCAAGCTTTCCTGATTGTGAGCTGATCGACTGTGAAGGCCGTCGTAATCGAGATGAGAGGCAGGCAGGAATATGGATGGGGGTGTAGAAAGGATAGCCGTGGGATATTTGGGCGGTCGTGCGCCAATCGCGTGTTCCTCGAGGGCGTGTCAGCCTCGTGGCTGTTTCCATGGGGCTGCCCTGCATGTTTGGAAAATCCTGTGCGCTAAAGCTGTTGGCTGACAGTGTGGTGGACTCAGTCTACGCGCCTCGACTGTCCGACTCATAATGACAATTCCGCAGGCAGGAAGCGTGTACGCACAATAGACCCAAGCAATCAGACCAACTTGAAATTGAGCATAGAGGAAAGACATTAACCCATCCCTTGCAATCCAAAAGCGGAAAGAAGGTTACGCTTTTCGGCAATAAGACAAACCGGTCGCGAATCGTCGGAACGACATTGGTGGGCGCCTAATCCAAGGCGATATGGCCGAGCGGTCTAAGGCGCCAGACTAAGGATCAGGACATCTGATGTCCAATCAACTCGCTGTTCGAGCGGTTATCTGGTCTTTCGGGGCGTGAGTTCGAATCTCACTGTCGTCAAACCTTTTCTTTTGTTCCGTGATATATCTATTCTTGTTGCACTTGCCATCTTTTAATGTACACTGTCTAACATATTGAAAAAGTAACACTTTTGTCATCGACAAGTCCAGGTGAGACAGAGCAAGAGAAAAAATTTGACGACAGTGAGATTCGAACTCACGCCCCGAAAGACCAGATAACCGCTCGAACAGCGAGTTGATTGGACATCAGATGTCCTGATCCTTAGTCTGGCGCCTTAGACCGCTCGGCCATATCGCCGTATTTCTTGAGCGTCTATTTGCTTCCTGAGCCTCAAATGCCTCCTGACCTCCTGGATATCTTCAACTCGGATCGCATGCCATGGGCTGAAGCTAAGTATTTCTCCTTCGTCACACTCTAGGTCAACTTAGTCACTATCCAATCCCCACCTCCTGGTTGATGCTAAATCTAAATTTAAGACACCGTGTCTGGCCGTTTTCAGCGTCGTCTTCTCCTGACCCACGAAGACGCACTTCCGTAAGGCTGCCGTATGCCTCCAACCGCCATGATTTAGATAAAATTAATCTCTGTCAATGCGCTTTCCACTGAAGCTAACTCCCCATACGAAGCTGAAGGTCCTCGAACACAAAAATCGGTCGCTTTCCATACGGGGATACGGACAGGGAAGGAAATTATAGCAGACTGCGTGGCGCTTCATCAGAATGCCTACCCATCGGAAACACATGGCATCGCTTGCCTTGACAAATATATATATATATATATATAATGTCGTCATATGGATGAGATCCTGGTGTTTCTTCAGCTAAGATAGCTTCTCGCATCTCATATTTTATTATCCAACCATAATCTGTTGGTAGGTCTAACGCTCATCTCCGATTGTGCAACGGAATACTCGACCTCCTGGGATCGCTTGGTTGCTTATGTCAGTCGATCGAACCGTCCCCTTTCATGATGCTCTCAGCGAAAGCTCAGTTCGTCGTTGCTGCTGTCACGCTCGTCTCTACAGTGCCGGTCAATACCACTGCACCTGCCACCGACGTGAAGAGAAGGAAATTATGTATGTTATTTAACAGCAGGCTTAAATAGATGTAGTGTGGTCTTGTAGACTCTTGTAGAGACCCTTGGGTTGAGCAGAAGACAAGGGCCGCGAAAACAAGGGATTTTGAAGCTGTATCCATCACCCGACATCGCACCGCAGGGCCTAACGACTCCACTGCCGCTCACGTGAATACCACGTAGGTCCACGGTCTTCCACGGTTAACCCAAGGAGGTCATGTGTCGACCCTTTAACTAAGAGACGGAGGTCAGAAAATGCCTCGAGGTGTCTATTATGACTAAGTAGCGAGGAAACTCGATCAAAGATGAGGAATGTATGTGGTCCATGGAATGTCCTGTGTGAAGCGAGGCGACAATGCGGCGAGGGAGATAAACGCTTCGATGAGCAACGCTACTCTTGCATAGAGGAATAATGAAATGCCTGTCTACCGAATGTCATCTGTAAGGCGGTCAATCGAATCGAAGCAAGCACACGACATCGCCAAGACAACAAGGGCGACCAACAAGATCCTTGGGATTGCCAAAGTCGCTATCATCGATGTTTTCCAGACCGGGATATACTTGGATGAGGGGAAGGGTGAATCGTACGTCTATGCGGACAGGTACACGGACGTCGAGAGGTTTGGACCACCAGACAACAAGAAGAAGCGCGTTGATTGTGGTTAAAGAGAGAGTCTCGAATTCCAGGGCCGTTAGCGGCAGGTGGTTGCTGAGTCGGGCGATGCACTGGGTAATGAACCACTACCTGAAGGCCAAAGATCAACGCTCCTAATGGGCTCGATTTGCTGTGATCAAGGATTTCCGCGGAGGAGATGGTCGGAAAGTCCACGGCGCCTGTGGTGAAGTGTGCACGAAGAAACCACCTGGTGACGACCTGAAATGGCTTTTCGTCCTTGTAAAATAGGAATCCTCCCATGTTAAGGAAGTGTCCATGAACCGTGTTCCAACCTTGAGCTTGACGTAATGGGAGATACCCTGAGATCGCCATACCAGTGCATGAACAGCAGCAGTGACACCTTTATACGTCCTGGCAACCTCTCTTGCAGCATACCACTGTCTCATGCCCAGAACACGACCAGCTCTGGAATAAAGATGGTATACAGGCCGATCCTCATCTTGTAAAGGAGATAAGAACCATGGTATTTAGGCGCTGGGACGTTGGGGCGGAGGCAGAACCGCTGAAGCCGAGTATGAGAGTGAGGATGCAACTGCATACAATACTTGAGACCGAGCACTGGTCGTTTGATATGGAAGAAAAGTCGTCTTCATGGAGGTTGGGCATACGATCTTGAATTGGATGTCGTTGTGATACAGAAAGGGAGCTGACTAGCACTGACTGTTATGACCGTCTTAGACCGGCCTATGAAATCGCCGGACAGGTCATTACGTACCTTTCAACGTCGTTGCTATTCATAGGAAGGGTTTCCCGGTCGCAATGTTCGGAGAGCAAGGTTGGACGAGCATCCGTCGCAGATCATTATTTCTGCCTTTTCCCAATCCCGATTGTTTTCTTGATGATAGATACGCTCCGATGAGCGCCTGTATCTTTGAGTAGGTCCGCATCGGATCTGGACAGGTTCTTCCCGTGCACAGCTACTCAAAGAATTTCTTTCGGTCGCTGCGACTGCCATTCGACTGAGGAGAAAGATGGAGTTCGCAGTGTCTAGGGTTTAATGGCACACTGGGGAATGTGGGTGGGTGGCAGTGGTGATGGTACGGAAGGAAGATGGGCCACCCACCCACATTCCCCAGTGGTGATGGTACGGAAGGAAGATGGATTGCTCCACCCATCAGCCTCACCGGCAGTTGGCCACTTGTTGAACTTGACGTGAAAATGTATCGTTTCGCCCCTGCATAACAGAGGTATGAACAGGAAAATCCAGGTCGAGGTTTGAGGAAATTGATGATGCCCTGTAGTACATACATGGATACGAAAACTATGTGCATTACAATGTATACTATATCCATCGTTCTGTACAGATAGCAATTATGTATAATATAACAGCAACACCCTAGTCCGCGCCAGAGAGTGATTTAGGAGGCTTGAGATAATGCCTCATCATATCCCGCATAGTTATGTTGAAGTCTAAGGTACCTTCGCATGACATCCAACTCTCCGAGCACACAGGCCAAGTTAAACTGCCTGCAACAATGGCTAGTTTCTCTCTCGCTAGCAGTGCACACGGCAATTCATAAAATACATCAATCTTGCCGAGGTCATACTCCGCATGCAGGAAATTGACAATTGACAACCTCTTTGAAAAAAGGGGAGGCTCGTCAACATTGGGTGTAGATCTCGGCGCGGGCAAGCTGAGCGGATACGTGTAGATACCCATCTCATGCGAGAGCTGCAACAACGGCAGCGGGTCCCATCGCTGCCCTTGAGGAACTTCCTTGAACAGGAGATCGTCGAGTCGCAGGATACCCTTTGCCCAGTCTAAATCTTCTTGTCGTCGAGCAGACGCGATCCACATAGTGACAGGAAAGAGAAACTCATTCTCTGTTCCTGTGAGGACGAGTCTCTCTGCTTGGGTGCATGCACGGATGAGTGGTCCAAAGAGAGGGGCGGAGAGCGTCTCGAGGTAGAAGCGTGTATATATGCCGAGGTGCAGGGAGGAAGCAGCGACTAGCTTAGAGGAGTTGAGGAATCGGGCGAGGTACAGGAGCATGGTGTAGGCTTCGACATTGCCGGCCACATCAAGGTTCACGTCCACATTCTCATTATCTTCCTCGTCGTCGGAATCGCTGTTCTTGAGGACAAAAGTAAAGGTTAAGCATGGCCGGATCTGTGCCTCTGTGTTGACATCTTGACGGGGGTCAATCCGAACAGCTACTTGAATGAGACTGGCGTGAATGTCCAGACAGAGAGCCTTGTCCGACATGTCGTGCTTGCATTCCTCGATACGGTTTTCCAAGGAGTCGAGAACGATGTGGTACCACGTATTCGGTGCGGCGTCGTTGCATAGAATATCGACTAGGCACCCTGGCGGAAGTGTGAGAGAGCCTAGAAGAATAGCGCAGTCGATGTCGCACAGTTCTAGGTAAAGATATTTGAGATGCGAAAATTTGATGTCATCAAGTTGGTCGTTGTCGTCTTGGTTCTCATCAGCTGTCTCGTCTTCTGCGTCAAGAATTAAGGAGAGGAAGAGGTCTTCGAGGAGGGGCATCTTCCGCAAGACCTTGAGGAGATACGTGCATGTAAATCGGGCGATGGTCGAACCAACGCTGTTGTGCAGTCTAAAGTGAGTGATGTTGGAGAGGGTGGGTGGATGTAGGGTGAATAGGTGTGCGGCAAAATCCAACCGTTGGAGTTTTGGGGCACCTTTGTTGAAAAAGGGCTTGAATGAAGAGTAGGTTGTTCGCTTATGGCTGTTGAATGGGGCCATAGAGAATGCTTCAAGCAGCGGCGCATGTGAGTTGCGGAGGCGATCCATGATAACGCACATAGAGCCGTTCTCGAGTAACAGGCAATTGACACGGAGTTCGAGAACTCTCAGACGCGGCATGACCGTCTCGATGATGGTTGCCGTCTCGTGGTCTAAATTTTCGTCCCAGCCCTCCCCTATCCAAGCATACAACGACACTGGCACCCCTCGCGAACGGACCACCAGCTCCTTTGCTAGTGCCAGTCTGTCTTTCGCCTTCCTCCATGATCGCCCCTTGAGAAAGACTTGGTTCCAGAGACGAGAATTTAAGAGGGCTGCGGCCCGCCATCGTAGGCAAACTTGGGAAAGAGTGAGAGGGGCCTTGAGGTAGTCGTCCATGAGGGCAGGGTCTGATTCTTCCGGTAGAGTGAGGTTGAAGATAATGTCCAGCAGTTCCAGAGGAAAGCTGGCCATTCGCGAGGTTGCATACGGGTTCCGGTGAAGATACCGCGGATTTCGGACGGCCGCAGGTGCTGCATCAATTAGGATGGTTAGCACAACGTCCAACAAGCCCAATTCTGAAGGACACACGCTCGTAAACGGGAAGATAGTCAAAAAAATTTGAGGGTACACCGCTATCGGGCCAGTTTACCGCACTGACAGGCGATGGCGTACAGAAGTTCGAGAGGAACATTGGATGTGGGTTCAAATCGAGCGGTTCATTTCTCTCGATAGGCATGACCGCGCAATAGCCCCTGTATTGATCAACGTTAGCACACATGGAGATTAAAGACTAAAGACTAAAGAACATACGTCCGTGACAATTTTCCCACAAACGAATTACAGCTTGGATAAAGGAGAGGGCCTGGTGGGGCGTTGAACGTTGAACGTTGAACGCCGACTCGTGATCAGAATTTTGTCGCACGGTCATTGTGTTACTCTCGCGTCAGTCACGCCGACGCGTTCGTCACGATCGCACGTGTTTACATTCCCCTGCCCATGGCATCGTCTTCGTCAACGAACGGCACTCAGGACCGTGGATCGGAGAAAGAATGGAAGGATGCGATGTCGGTATGCACAACAACTCTAATTCCTGCCGTTATCGTGTTGAGATGTCCTCGTTCAGGCGCTTGGGAGGCACCTCAGCCCAGATCCAATAACTGGGGGGAATTCTATTCACGAACCCCATATTTGCACGAACCCCTCACGAACCCCCAAGTTTCGGATACCTTCCGGAGAGCTTGCGGGATGACAAATAATGTTACATTTGTGACGTCCGGCCCGGACGCAAATTAAACTTAAAGTTAGTAAAGACAGTTGACCGTCGACGCTTTGGAGGACCGTTCATACCGTCTGAATTTCATTACATGCGGCACTGATAAGGATTTAGAAAGTACGAATACTGAAAAACAAAGGAATTCAAGTCGAGTAAGCAAGTGCCTTTGTGGCTCACAGGTTGCGTGCTATTTATGCAAAAGCGAGGTCCTGCCATGGGATCCACCGAGTACGAATTCATGGCGAATTCATGACGAACACATTCAACAGCCGGAATAAAACTAAAAATCAAAATCGCAGTGGTCACTGTTGGGATTATATTCTACATACCTTTTCATGCCCATGTCTACGCTCACTATACATCTTTAATCACATCGTCGACCAATAGTTTGGCTCACAACTCGGGGTTCTGGTGAACACCGCAGCCGTTGGGCCCCTGATCTATTGATTTAGACGAGTGTGCTGGCGACTTTGATGAGGTGTAACGGTTGTTGCTGATGTTGACAGCCACAGTTAGCACGAGCTAGGGGCGATTCCTCTGTAGACTGCAAGAAGGGAAAACATCCCTTGCACACTGTAAGATGTACTTAAGGACTCACAGTGTCACCAGAGAAGTGTGCCATCTAGGAGTCCTCCAGGCAGTCACGCGTCTACATATCCGAGTCTGAAGTCATAGTTGTTAGCGATTCACCAGACCAATGCTGAGGATGCTGAGCGTGCTCGTCTTCGGGACGAGCTCGGAGCTTCATGGGGCCTTGGATAGGAACGCCGTTGGGACATCATGCTTGTCCCATGCATCTTGGAGAGATTGGTGGAAGGAGGTGCTGGCCTTGGACGAGACTGGAGTCCGAGTCCAGAGGCGGATGGATCGCGGACTCAGAGATGAGACAGATAGACAAGATGGGTGGGTGGGCAGCACTGCGCGGAGTCTGCATGGGCCGAGCTAGGACAGGCATATTTGTGTTCGCCGCATAAGTATGGTTATTTGACTTGATTTACGTTGGATTTACAGTGCCGGTAAATCGTGGTCGGCAGGGCACCAGACGCCCGGAGCGCCGAAGGTGGGTTCGAGGGAAGGGCGAAAAGGCATCGCGGCCGTCAAATCAGCCCTGCATGGAGGGCCGAGCAGAGTCGGGAGTGATGGGAAGGGTGCGACGATGTATTTGACGGAGTCCAGGACAGTGAAAATAAGCATGAAGATGCTGTACAAAAAATAAATACCAAATGTCTCGAGGAGATATCTGTGCGCGCTTGCGCGCCTCGAAATTTAGCTTGAAGGGCGGGAAATCAGAGAATTAGAGTGCCGCCATCAGAGTTGCAAGCAGCCGAGCAATAAAACAAAGGGCAGGCACTAGGCGACGGCTAAGCGCTGGCTCATCAGCCTGTAAATCGGGCCACGTAAATTGAGCCGGCTCGCTGTAAATCTTGTAAATCCAGCGTAAATCGGGCCAGCTCACCCCGTAAATCTGTCAAAATAAGTTACTTATTGAACTTATGCCACCCAGGGAGCACTTATTTCGCCCCAGGACATGAACCGGGGGTGTTTGGGCAGTCCATGGGTCTTTTCTCTCACTCTCAATGTATTTGACATGTTTAATTGATAATAATACATAATATTTACATGGGTCAAGGCCAGAAAGACCCCGGGGCACGTCCGAGGGAAGGGGACGGGCGCTGAGCGACGCGGGGGGAAGCGCACGGCGCTAGCGCCCAAGCGCGAACACGCGTCGAGTCGTGTCAAGGGGGCTGTGGGACCGCCGGCGGAGCCCGAGAAATGCGCCCAAATTGAGGAAACTTGACCGATTTGGAAGGAGCCTGATCCGTGGCTGATCCGCCGCCAAGCGAGCGCCGGCATCTCGGCACCCGCCAACGATCGGTAAATCCGTCGGCATAAGTAGTTGTAGTGGGCCAAAGTGACGATGGGTCCCGACGTCGTTCAAGGTATGGCGCATGAGTGTTTGAACACGAACATCGGGTACGGATGGCCTGTCACACCTCCTTCCCCTTTCAGCTGGTCGGCCGGAGCCTCCGTTAAACTTTGATCTCACGGAGGGGTTCGCAAATTTGAGGGGTTCGTGAATAGAATTCCCCAATAACTGGCGAACTCGAAGATACGGACATACTGAGGTGAGTCGAATCTCCAAGCAATTGAAAAGACTCATAACACCTCATTAGGTTCATCACCGAAAACGCAGATCACCCCGATGTTGTTCGATTCTTCCAGGTATCGGAAAAACGGAGCAGTGGCGTGAAGGAGAAACGCGCACAGGCAGCCGCGGCGTTCGATCCTACCAAGCTCAAGATCCAATATGGCGCGACGTGGGTCGTCTCGCTGGAATACTCCGGTTTAACGACGGAGGAACGGCTCGATGACAAGTTGTATCGGACTGAGGAAGAGGCCAAGGCGAGGGAGGAAGAGCTGCAGGGCCCTGCGAAGGCGACGTTCCAACTATTCTGCTACATCCGCGAAGGACCCGAGGTGAGGAGGGCAGATACGCGCTACATGAAGGAATTTGTCGGCCTGCCTACTTCTGCGCAGATAGAAGAGTGAGTTCCTTTCCTATGTGTGGTTGCCTCCATTTTCACACCCATACACCAATCGTAGGTTCCTCAAGATCAGCATGGCAGCTCCCATCGAGCTCTGCAAGCCGTGCATCCCCCAAACCCTCCTCTTCACACACAACCTCATGCCGCACCAGGATTCCCTCCTGCCCTTCCTCGACGACATGCCCCTGCCGTTCAGCTTCCTCTTCCAGCCCAAAGACATGCGCGACCCCGTGCAGGAGCGGGACGACAAGCTAGCTGCGAATTACTTCAGCGAATACATGGGCCTGGCCATGAAGCACAAAGAACAGGGTAATGCGGCATACGCGAAAGGCGAGCGTGAGCGCGCCGTTGAGTGCTTCGAGGAGGGAGTGGAGGTACTCGAGCGTCTCCGCTGAAGGCACTCAGTCACCCGCCCGAACGCGACGCCGAGACGAGGAAACTCCTGGCGGTGTGCTATGCGAATTGCGCAGCGGCGAGGATGTTGGTAGTGGAGGGTGGAGAGGAGCGAGACTTGAAGGCAGCCGTGGAGGACGCAGAGAAGGCGATCAAAACCGATCCGACTTATGCTAAGGCGTGAGTTGGTCATCTCCCAGAAGACTATTTGTCTAATGGTCATCCAGGTACACCCGCCTCTCTCGCGCTTATGAAGCTTTGGGTAACCCGTACGAAGCCCAAGAGGCTCTGGTCCGCGGACTTCGTCTGAAAGACCTCAACAAACACTATGGTCTGGCCGACCATCTCCTCTTCCTCCAAACCAACGACAAAGGGCTGGCAGGCCTAACGAGTATGGACGTGTTTGAAGCGTGGCTGAACTCTGTGCTTGTTGATGACGAGAAGACTGCAGCCTTGATGAAAGATCTGGGAGGGGCATGGCAGCAAAGGTGTGACGAGCATCGGAAAAGCATTGCTTCGGCATAATTCACAGGCAACTGTATAAATTGTACTTGTACCCGAGGAATGAGACGAGAAGATGACACCCACCATTCTGAACGAGTTCACACGAAGTGAACGAGAGCAAAAAATTACACGACAGACGAAGAGTAGTCTGAATCGAGTTACACTCTGGGTCCCGACACACGAAGGCGAACAGGACCCATATAAATGCGCTGCGAAGTGAGCTAAAGGATGGTTGTGCGCCCAAACCAACTGACACCCGAAGGCGCGAATCGGAGCGTGCCCTCACACCACCCAATCATTGCGACGACTTCCAAGACCCCCCACACCACACCCTCCTGCGCACCACGAAGGCCAGCGATCTTTGGGCACCCTTCCACCCCGAAGGGCGAAAAAGAGGGCATAGGAGGTCGGATTTCTGATACGCCGCTGCAGCCGGTTACAGCTGGATCCTGCTAGGACCGATCGAGAATGATTAGAATGCTCAGACCTTAGCCCGCTCGCAAGTGTGGACGACGCTGAAGCGTTCGTCCTGTACGGCGCGAGCCTCGCAGCTTTTCATCTGTCGTCGTTGAAGAAGAGAAGATTCGAAATCGCAGAAAATGATCGGCAAAAGATAGTCGTATTTGGTTGCGTGTGGATTTCCTGGGTCAGCCAAGCAAATAGTTCATCGGCAATGCCGGTCCGAAAGGTGGCCCGATGATTCCCCGCAGGCCGCCATCTGGCGGCTCCGCTGACCACAACGACGATGCACAAGATTCCAACGACAGCTTCTTCCCCGAGAATCCCGCAGATATGGCGTATAAATAGGCCCCCGTCGTCACCGTCTTCTTTGATATCTTATCACGACATCCTCAACATCCAGAGCATCGACTCATTCACCACCAAAGAATGCCTGCTACCAAGTCTGTGAAGCTCAACACTGGCGCTGAGATGCCTACTCTCGGGCTTGGTATGTTTTTTGTTGTTCTTTTTACGTTGTCGGGAATCTGACCGCCAATCAACAGGCACCTGGAAGTCGGGTACAGGCGAGGTTGCTCATGCCGTCGAGTTTGCCCTCAAGAACGGCTACAAGCACATCGATACCGCCACTGCCTACGAAAACGAGGCAGAAGTCGGCCAAGGAATCAAGGCGTCAGGTGTTCCTCGCGAATCCTTCTTCTTGACGACGAAACTGAACAACAACGACCATCTTCGCGTCGAGGAGGCTCTTGACTCTTCCTTGAAGGCTTTGGGGACAGAGTACCTGGATCTCTGTATGTCGATTGCAGGCAGTTGAAGCCTATCTAACTGCTATACAGGGTTGATGCACTGGCCGGCGCCTATGGTCCAGGATCTGAGTGGCCCTGACCGCTCGGTGCGCCACATTGTTGTCCGAACCATTTAAGATGTCCAACTCATCGTCATTTGATGCAGATCGATTGGCTCGATACATGGAAGAAAATGGTAGAGGTGTACAAGGCGAATCCAGGAAAGCTCAAGGCTATCGGTATATCCCTTTTTTCCGCAGGATTTATCATGACCTCTAATATTTTGTTCCTCAATACGTAGGTGTCTCTAACTTCTGCGTTGATTGGTTAAAGCGCCTACTTGACAACTCTGACGTCGTCCCTGCGGTCAACCAAATTGAGCTCCACCCGTATGTTGACGTATTCTCACGCATACACCCTGTCCGACAAGCTAACTTCGTTGCCTAGATCCTGCACGCAAGAAGAGCTCGTCGAGTTATGCAGGCAGAAGGGCATTGTCGTCACCGCCTACTCTCCCCTCGGCTCGAACGACTCTCCACTTTTGAGCAGTGAAATCGTCAAGAAGATCGCAGAGAAACATAACGTTCACCCTGCGACTGTTCTCATTTCTCTTCAGGCAAACAAACCAGGCGTCAACGGTATGCATCTCTCCGGCTCCTTTTCCTCACAATTGCTCAAAACCTCTGAACAGTGCTCTCCAAATCTGTCACCAACTCTCGCATCATTTGTATGTCTTCACTCCTTATAGTACTTTCTCTCTTTGATTTGCTGTGATCTGCCTAAGCCAATCTCAACGTCATCGACCTTACCGACGAAGAGATTAAGGAGCTCCAGGGCATCAAGACCAACCATTTCCGTGTCTGCCATCCCAATTGGACGGGATGGGGCTCGCTCGGGTTCTCAGATTGCGAGTAAGCAAAAACCTCTCGGTGTATCCACTCATTTCAACAGGTAGCCCGCTGATGGATTGCTGAGGGAGTCCTGGTGGTGAGGAAAGGGAAGAGAACAAATACAGGAGTTTTTAAATGCAGGACTTACTCGTGCACTTACCGATACCAGCGTGTTACCTCAATTATAAACCAGGCAAATACATCAAGTGATATTCCTTCTCTCAAAAAAAAGATTACAAAGATGTGCTCCCATTGCGCCTGAGCAACAGGCTTCTTTTGGTAACTATCTCCTAATATAGCTGTGATATCACGAATGCAAACAACATCTTTTGGAGACTGAGGCCCGCTGAAGCCGGCAAAGTAATATTATCGACAATGAACGCCCTGAAATAGCGACATGAGATTGAGCTTATCCATACACGTTAACTTCAAGGCATGCCAAAACCGTCGCGGGGAATTTCCTTGGCGGAGTTTGAAGTCAAATGAGAAGCACCTCGTCGATCGGCGCCGCCTTTATCATCCTTTCATCTCCCTCCACCATCATGGCCACATGTACACGATACTGCATTCCTTTGAGAAAGGCTATTCTTATTTTCTTTCCCTCTTCCCATCCTGCGGACAGCGCAAAGGAAATAAACGAGGAGCAGTACGTCGTTCAGGTTATGATAAGACAAGCTTAGTGAGCAGCGACTACTTTTCTGATGAATTGGTCGCCAAAATTGAGTATCCCAGCAAAGACGTCGTAAAAGAACTCACGATGTTTTTCTTGTCCCAATACGAGATCACGGTTCGATGTCCTTCTCGTATGCTCTATTAGGATACTGAGAGCATCATCTAGAAGGCAATCGAAAGCGTAATCCACGCGCATATACTCGTCTCTTTTCCCTCTGAGGTCAGGATAAAGGGCGATGGGTACGTCCTACACGCAAGTAAGTCAGACTACCGATTCCAACGCGCCAAGCCTTCTAACCTACCCCGTACAAGGCCGAAAACCGTGGCTCTACGGTCAAAAGCTCAATCTTTCCTGGGGCAATCAACCCATCCGCGCTAGCCCCGATAAATGGACCTTCGTATTCGAGCTTGTCGATGACGACAAGGCAACTCCGCGGCGTGCCGGAGGTCTATAATTAGGCGTGAGACGATGGCACAGCCTTGTGTATCTCCTTCTCCAGCCTTCTCTTCGGCCACGTTATTATTAGGTGCCTTCCGTATCCCGTGTGATCCTGCGTTATGACCCCACCACTATCGGCGAGCCTGGGGGCAATTCATTCCGACTCAGTTCCTCGCGTCAGCATGCAATAAGACGATCCTTCCCTCAGGACGTTTGAACGGCGGGTGGGCACATTCAGAGGCTGGTATCCAAGCAAGGTGAGTTTCGGTGTTGTGGGTGAGGAGAGATGGTGTAACGTTTTCATTGCAGCTAGTACGGCCTCAAGAACACGTTCATTACGATGCCCAGCACAGGCGCTCGGACTACTGCAACCCAGCCCATTCCATTCAGATGCTCCCAAGACATCCGGGGTTCGTGTCACGGATGCTTGGCCAGAAGTCAGCTGGAAGACAGAACACGTCGGCGTGCAGACATGTCCTCGAAGGAAATAGACACTCTCAAAGCAACGATAAATGACGCCCATGATCCAATGTTCCGGATATTTTCGCCCGAGCTTGTCTCGTTGATCTTCACATTTTCTGTGCACGAAGGCGAAGAAGCGCAAATTCCTGAACAACGAGGATGTCGCCGTCGCCTCCGGCAAAATGGGCCGCGCATGCCGATCGTCTTGAGTGCGGTTTGTAGGAGATGGAGAGACATTTCCTTCTCGACACCGCAGCTTTGGACATCTATCTTTATCAAGTTTGACGAGGCCGACTCCGCTCCTACTCAACAGGCGCGAGCCAATTTTGTGCAGGAATGGCTCAGCCGCTCCGGCCAGCTTCCCCTCTCCATTGCCATCGCCTTCGACACCATCGTAGTCTCCGGACGATCCAAGCTGGACTCCGAGAGCATGTTCTATCCCATCGTCGAGATTATTAACAAGTGCTCCAGCCGGTGGAGGACGCTCGACGTACAGGTTCCCGGTTCCCTCCTGCCACGCATCCGCGGGAATTCCACGGGGCGATCTATTCTTGAAGACATCCGCATTATACGTACAGATTGGCCGTTGTACACCGAGTCACTGAAGAGGTTTAGACTAGAGTGTGTCAAGCCTAGTCCAACCCGCGTGGCGATGAGCAGGCTGGACCTACGTTCGTTAGGGATTCTGTGGGACAATGTAACACACCTCGACGCGATGGGACTTAACCTTGCAGACTGTGTCAAGGTACTCCAAAAGGCGCCTCGGATGACCCATTGGAGACTAGATTATATCCCGGACATTGAAGACGTCGACAACGCCGCTGATGGATGTAAAACCTTAATTATACACCATTCACTCCAATCGTTGGACCTGTGGTATATCACATATCCTCAGCTTCTCCTCGACCAACTCACATTACCTTCTCTTCGGCATCTTCGATATCATTGTTCCTCGTTTCCGACGTCGCTCTCTAGCCTCAAATTGCTTTTGGAACGCTCATCCTCCCTGTTACTCACCCTCGAGATCGACCTTGCGGTAGATGGGAATAAAGACCACCAGGATTGTATCGACCTCCTGCGTTCAGTCCCAACGGTGCGAGATCTGAAACTTAACAGCACACAGAATATGGACACCTTCTTCGATCTCCTAGGGCGGACTTCGATGCCTCATACGCTGCAAGAAAAAGATCGATTTCTTCCTCACCTTCGACGCTTGTCCTTCACCGGCGAGCGCCTATTTAAGTGGTCGAAAATCCTCGATGCCTTCCCGTGTGGCAATCAGCTCGACCACTCGTCTCGTCGCCCGCTCTCCTCATTGAGCATCACGATATGTGCGGAACGGCAAGATAGCCGCTCCGACGATTGCATTGACGAGTCCCTCCTTCCTCGGCTTTTCGAGCTCATGGAACACAATATTCATATTTCGATCAAAGGACAGGATGATGAGGACTGGATCGAGCGTTCTGCTTGTTATCATAAAGAACTGAAGGATGTTACGCTATGACTGATATTTTTGGACACGCTCTTCTTGTGTATTTTCTTGGGGTAGTTGTATAGGTAGAATGCCGGTGCCATCTGTATTTTGTAGAGCAACTGCAACAATGCTTACAGAGATGCGAGAATGCAGTGTATAGACAAGTCACAAGGAATTATCTCAAAATAATCCCCGTCTACTAGCTGGAATCCGCTGTGGTGAAGTCCGAGTGGGGAAGGAGTGCAGCAGCATTCTCTTTCTCCTGATTGCCGCTCATGCTTTATCTTATCTCAGATGTTATTGCGAGCGAAGCGAGCATTCCTCGGCTAAAGGGCTGGGAGGCCCGGACAAACAAAGCCAAACTCTTGTTGCAGAAACTGGGACGAGTCGATATTGGTGAGCCGTATTTCGTGGGATCTAGGTCATATTATCCTCTGTAAAGCTCCATGTAGACTATTTACATGCCATAGAATAAGTTCCTCCAAGAAAACTCACCTTTGGAGCCCTTGTTTTGGTGTTCTGGCAACCTTGGGCACATCTCTCATGCCATCACAGGGCGGGTTTTTCCCACAGTCCGCATTATACTCGGCGGTCACAGAACAGCTCAGAAAAAATACAAGATAATTACACTGGCCCAGGGGGCACTTCAGTGAAAAATGCACTGTCTTAAGATGAACTGGCAAACTAGGACGGCGCAGCGAGCCCCCCGCTTCCAGCGGTTACTTAATATAATTATGTAATCATGACGTAATCTGCAGCACTGCACCTTGACCCAACCTTGACCAGAACGCTTCTCAACCGAAAAGCCCTACCATACAGCACGACTATGTCTTCGACAGATGAAGAGGTTAATCCCTATGAGCTGCTCGACCTCGGGATGGAGTCGACGGAGAAAGAAATACGAACTGCGTACAGGCAGAAGTCGTTGAAGGTCCATCCAGACAGGGTGAGTGGCTTTTCGTTTTGTTAATTCTACGTTTGACATGTATCCTAATAGCCTTTCTCTCTAGAATCCCAATAACCCAGATGCGGGTGAGGATGATTCGATTTCAACATTGATGTCCTCGACTGAGTAGAACTAATTCACCAGCACGCAAATTCCATGAGCTGAACCAAGCATATGAGCTCCTCCTCGACCCACTTCGGCGACTGGCCCTTGATGCGAAGCTGCGACTGCAGCAAGCCAGAAAGGAACGCTTTAAGGCATATGACAACAAGCGCAAGAACCTCGTCGAGGAGCTGGAGGAGAGGGAGCGCGCATTCAAGAAGGCGAGGATAGAGAAGCAGAAGGAGGAAGTCCAGACGTGGCAGTCTAATGAAAGAATCAAGGAAGAGGGGAAGAGGCTGAGGGAGGAGAAGGAGCGAGAAATGAAGGCTAGGATGGCACCACAAGTGCCCGAGGTCGAGGAGGAAGCACCTCCACCAATGGGTTTGTTGCATCCTCCGTTGTCCAGGACTCTTCTCAAGTCGGCACTGGTTTCATTTCTACAGATTCACTTGACACAACCGTCCGTATCAAATACCCACTCAAGACCTACCCCAATCTCACAACACCAGAGAGCATCTCTAATTTCCTGAAGCGGTTCGGAGCCACAGACGAGACTTCGATCGTCCTCTCGCTTTCTCTCAAATTCAAAAAGGCCGCCGAGAAGTCGGAAAAAGCGGAGAAAACCCCGAAAACAGGGAGTGCGCTCGTTCCGTTCAAGCAAATCGGGGACGCGTTCGCGGCGGTATGCGCGAGTGGACGGAAGGACCTGGGGTTGGACGGTGTGAATATTACGTGGGTTAAGGGGCAGGAACCAGCAATTCTGGGATGGCTGAAGAAGATGGGCAAGCTGGGCACACCTGAGATCACGACGGCGGCTATGAAGAGCTCGGACTCAGCACCATCGGCGAGGTCCTCTCCACCCAAGGAAGGAAGCAAGGCTGAGTTGCCCCAGAACCAGTCGCGGGGACTCGGTTCAACGCCTTTCTCTTCCTTCCCCTCTTCTCTCGTGCGGTACTTCCCCCTTCGTCCCAGACAGTGTTTTTGACGTCCCTTCTTCTAGCCTGATGCTCTCCCAACCTCAGTTCCATCGACCGCCCCACCTGCCCCTGAGATCGACTACGAGACACTCACATTGATGCGTCTGCGCCAGGCTGAACGAGAGCGGCTCGAGAGAGAGATACTAGAGCAGGAGGCGAGCGACGCCTGATGACCGACAATGACTGATGAATGCACGGGATGAGCGTGGTTGGGAGGGGAAAACTCGTCGACTCTCCATGAAGTATGATGTGTTGGACCTTTGTCAGGATGTGTTAATCCATATTCACTTTTTGCCTCTTGTGTGGTATCAGTCTCGACCAGGAACATTTGTAGAATCTCGACTCGGACAATAGGCCCGTCCAAATTAGAGGATTTCCTCCAGCAACCCGCAGTAGCTCGTACCGAACTGTGTGAGAATGTATCCGGGATGCAACCGCGCCAGCCATACTGCTCATTGCCACATGGAAAATCATGTAGACGAAGTGTTCGTCAAACAATTCTCGTTGTGAATCAACGGATGTCCCATCTCCCGTTGACGGAAAGTTCAGGCCTCGCCCTGCAATTTATCATCTATTCCTCGAATCACAACTTCCAACAACCGATTTTTTCCATCATATACATAATGGTTTGCACACCCTTGCGTCATCATCTTTTCTCCCTTCTCACTATGGTGCTACTCGACTCAGCTACGGTTAAAATACACATGCGTTTCATGACTTGTTCACGACGAGAATATTTAACTATGCGGGCAAAATGTGCGGGCTCTCTTCTAGCATCTCTGCGCTGACACCAGATCTTGCGGCACCGCACTGTCGTCCTTGATCAAAGCCAGCCCAGCCTCTTCATATCCTTGTCCCGGGTCCAGCTTTCCTCCTGGCCTACTACCCAATACCCCGTGCAGAGACCAGCATGAGGTAGCATCCGTTCTCCGCGGAGCGGTAGGCATCCAAAAGGGCAAGCATGTTTTAATCTTCAAGGAAGAAATAGTTGCCCGCAGCTGAAAACACAAACGAGCAACCCATCAAGATGCCAACCCACAAGAAAGCGGACAATGTAGACGTACCCTTCTGCTCTCGGTCCTTGATACTATTGAGCTTGTTGACGCGTGGTCGGAAGTTGGTGGGGTCACGCCGGAAGGTAATCTCGAGCGAGGCGAGGAACCGGTTCATTCCAGTCAGGAGGGATTGTGGTCTGCGATGCGATTTGAACTCCTGTTAGGAAGGGGACCATTGGAAGGTGATTGTAGGGCGACGTACGGAGTGGCAGTCGCAGCCCGTGCAGGCTGGCCTTCAAACACAATGACGCGATCTGCAAGATACGTGGCCATGATGAAGTCGTGTTCAATGACGAACGCGGTCTTCTTTGCGTGGAGGATGAAGCGTTTGATAACCTTCGACGCGATAATACGCTGCTCGGAATCGAGGAAACTGTAACAGAAGAGGCGGAAGGTCAGCGTGTGTCGCAGGTGGTGGTTAAGAAAGAGAGGCGTGAGAGGGACATACGAGCTTGGTTCATCGAGGAGGTAAACAGACACATTGGGCTTGCCTAAAAGGTAGAAATGCAATCAGCCCTGCAGGGAACAACCGAAGCGAGGGAAACCGGCACGAGGATCGCATCAGTGGGCCCAGGCACCCACTGCTCGACTCTCCCAAGACGAGTCCGATTGATGACAAGAAACGCGAACGCACCAAGAGCAAGCACGATCGCCACTCGCTGTAACTCTCCTCCCGAGAGGGTCTTTACTTCCTGATCCATGATGTTGTCAAGGCTCATTGGCTTGAGCACGTCCGTCTGGAACTGCGGGTGCATGAATGCCTGTTTGATCTGCTTCAGGAGGAGCATGCGAACGGTGCCGGGGAACTTGGGCGAGATTGTCTGGGGCTTCAAGCTGACTGAGAGCGTCTGCTTGTCTGTCTCGACATCGGGAGTGTCTCCCGCAAGCAGTCGAACGAAGGTCGTCTTTCCTGTCCCGTTTTCGCCCAACATGACGATGATCTCAGAATCAGTGAAGGAACCAGCCTCAACTGTCAGCTTGAAGCTGCCGAGTGTCTTCGTCATGGCGGGGTAAGAGTAATGTCGTGTTTTGTCGACAATAACCTCCTCAGCTGTTTCAACCATCTTGAATGACAGTGATTCTTCGCGGAACCGCAAGTTTTCCGTTGGGATGAAACCGTCGAGAAAGATATTGATACCTGGAGAGAGGTAAGGATTGAGAAGTCGTCCAGAATCCAGATATTGCTGAACAAACCTTCTCTGACTGATGAAGGCATTGTCACGACACCATACATCGACGGCTTGCCATAAAGACAACAGATGAAGTCGGAAAGGTAGTCCAGCACAGACAGATCGTGTTCTACAGCCACGACGTAACAATCGGGAGTTAGCAGCGAGCGGATAACCTCAGCAGCTTTAAGGCGTTGCTTGATATCCAGATAACTCGATGGTTCATCGAACATGTAGCTGCAAAATCCCCTCAATTAATATCTCCACTCTGAAGATGCGGGGAAAGACGTACACGTCTGCCTTCTGGATGCACGTCATGGCGATGGCGAATCGTTGTAGCTCACCACCGGATAAATTCGTGATATCTCGGTCCAACACATGAGTTAGCTCAAGCTCATCACACATCTTCTGTTTGTTGTCAAGTTCAAGCTTGGAGTCGAGCATTTGCGAGACTGTCATTTTTCCTTTGAGGGCTTTTGGGATGTGATCGACGTATTGGGGCTTGATCAACGCCTTCAAGTTGTCTTCGAGGACCTTGGTGAAGTAGTTTTGAAGCTCGGAGCCACGAAAGTATTTTAAGATTTCCTGCCAGTCCGGAGGGTCCTGTAGACATTTTTCAGATTAGCATGGTCAGGACACATAGAATGACGCACATCATATCGTCCTAGGTTTGGCTTCAGTTTACCAGCCAAGATTTTCAGCGCCGTGCTCTTCCCGATACCATTGGTTCCAACGAGACCAAGAACTTGACCTGGTCGTGGTGTAGGTAGGCGATGAAGCTTGAAAGAGTTGGCGGTGTATCGATGTGTGACTTGGGATTCTAAATTCGTTGGCAGATTGATAATAGCGATAGCTTCGAAAGGGCATCTATCAAGTTGTTCAGCGACTACAGAGGGTGAGTGATTGGCTTGATCTCACTTCTTCACGCAAATACCACAACCGATGCACAGAAATTCTGAGATGAAGGCGATCTTGTCTGAAGACTTCACTTCGATACATAATTTCCCTACGAAGACATTTTAGCGCCGTGTTGGGTTCCACAGACGAGTAATGCACCCATTTTAACGACAGGGCATGACTGAGACAGACGATTCGTCAGAACACGCAAGAGGTGTACGAAGACGGCGGATCTACACACCTTTTTGCACTCCTGGGCGCATCTCTTTGGCTTGCAGCGATTGGAGTCGACGATGGCAATACGGGTAATCTTGTCGGCCGACATTTCAGCAGTTTGTGGTCTCGATGCGACGAAGGTGGTGGAGGTGAAGAGTGAGGATGGTGTTGAACAAAAAAATATTGACGGTCTTGTCGTGTCTAATCAATCCGGTCATGTAGCATAGCCACATCGGGTCCGGTCCAAGTAATCGCATCTTGCTCATTGGCCACGACCTCCGATGGCGAAGAAGGCTTCAGGATCAACCGACAAGAAAGCCAGTGGGTCAGCAGACAAGAAGGCGGTAGGCAAAGACAACAACAAAGGAAAGGCGAAGGCAACCACCGACGATGGTGAGGAGAAACAGGCCAAGGTGTGCTAGATGTTGGTCTGGGACATCTGCCCATTAATGCTGAACTCTGTTTGAGTAGGGGAAAGGCTCCCTGAAGGCAGCTACAGCAGTTAACGTACGCCATATACTATGCGAGAAGCATTCTAAGGCCACAGAAGCCCTGCAGAAAATCCAGGTCAACTGTTATTTCGTTGATCGTCTGACCATCTGCTGACCTTCGTTGCAGGAAGGACAGTCGTTCAACAAAGTCGCGCAGGAGTATTCGGAGGACAAGGCTAAAGGTGGGTTCATATCTTGTTTCCAATCATGTCTGATTGACACGGCCTGCAGCTGGAGGAAGCCTGGGATGGATGGTACGGGGAAGCATGGTTGGCGCTTTCCAAGAAGCAGCGTTCGCCCTCACACCCTCCACTGTCGACAAGCCCATCACATCTGGTCTTGTTAAGACAGATTTTGGCTACCATATCATCATGGTCGAAGGCCGTCGATGACCAACATCGTATTCGTCACAATCGATACCCATCTCCTCTCCCATTTACTCTCGTCGTTCGGCATTATTCCAGCCTCAATCTGCAACACAAAGATCTCGATACAACTACACATTACCCTGCCTGCATTACAGATACACAACGTCACTTGAATAAAGATGCGTATATACTTGGTTATGGTCAAGGATGCGAAAAGACGAGGAAGTGGGCCTGAGGCAAGACCGAGGCAGGCGGTAGAAGAATCATATCTAGCTCCAAGCCAAGGCAAACGAACATGGAAGAAAGAAGGCAATAAAGGAGACGAACGCCCAGAGAGTCGAAATTGAAATCGAAATATTGAAGCAATCAAAACCCCTTCTATGTCCACCCAGGATAATATAAGTTCTGTTTGGCCGGAATCGACCCAGGAAACCCGGAAGACGTCGCAGCACCACCACTCGGCGGAGCACCCTGGCCTCCAGTTCCTGCGTTATGTGTGTACATCGGGTACCCGTGGTCCCTCCGCACGATACTTGGAGGTCCATCGCTCGACCCCGAATCTGTACGGCGCCTGTTCCAATGCCCCTCTGGTGCAGGGCCAGGAGCATAATACCTCGCCTGGCCCCACCCGCCCGCACTCGACGTTGAGCCCGAGCGTGGGCGGCTCTCTCCATATGGATATTGTCCGGAGGGTGGTGGTGGCGGGTACCCGCCATATGTGCTGATGTGATGTGCTGGATTGTTTTGCGCCGGCGGGTGGACAGTGGCAGGAGCTCGCGTTGGCGTCTGTGGTGTCTGCGGTGGCAGCTTGGGCGACATGCCCGTCGGCGAGTGGACGATGGGTGTCGCATTCGGACCTGCCACAGGTGGGGCCAGCGGAGGCGGGACGTAACCTGGCCGCCCGTTTGTCGGCATTGGCGGCGACGAGGTTACGTACAGAGGCGTCGAGGGCGTCGAGCTAGGCTGAGCTCTTCCTAGCACCGGCGACTTCATTGGTGCCTTTGGTGAACGAGTGGGGTTGGGAGGCGAGGACTGACGAGGGCCCGCTTGAGTTGGAGGAGGAGCGCGAGTTGGGAGTGGTGGCGGTCCGCTGCCTTCAGGGTATTTCCCGACACTTGAGCTCGGGTACCCACCTCTAGGGTCTGAAGTTGTCGAGTTCGAATATGGGTACGACCCGTTGCGGCTGGGAGGAGAGTTGTACAAGCTATGGCGCCGATTGTCCATAGATGGGTTGTTGCCAGTCATGTTACGAGCTATGAAAGATGTAGGTTGCGTAGATGGCGATGGCGGCACAGGAGTGTGGTGTATTCGCGTCGGAAGAGGAGGCACAGTCCATGGTTGAGGCACGCCCACATCTCGAGGAGATGTGTTAGCACCATAAGGAGAAGGGCCAGACAGTGGATAGGCACTCCTTGCAGACGGATCATATGAAAGAGACGACATCGGAGGGGTTTGATTCGGAACAGCGTGCACCGGAAGAGTTGTCGGCATCGAAGAAGCGGAAGGATCAGCTGCAGAGAAGGGCAATTCGTTCCAACGGTCCGGTGTGGGCGATCGTTTCGGTGCGCTGGCGACGACTTTGCCTAGATTCAATCCAACTAAATTACTCCTGTAATAATTGGCAACCTGAATCGCGGTCTGGAAAGCAGGTCAATCGAGTTTCGACTTGAGAAGATGAAAATGGGCACTTGCCTTGGACCGCATAGAAGCCGAAATCCTCTTGAAATCGTCTCCATACTGAGCAAGGAGGGAAAGAAATAAACCTAGCAAAAAGAGAACGGAATGTCAGGACATAACATTCCTATATGGCACGACAAAGTACCACAAACCTTGATCCTCTGACGACCACTGGACGGACGGAAGAGCCCCCTTTTCCTTCTTGCCACCACGGGATGTCGGAGCCTGGCTGGTACTACTTGCATTAGTTGCAGGCAAAGATATCTCAGGCTCTGGGCCCGGCGACCCAGGTTCCTCAGAAATCATCGCCACCGACTTGATCTTCCTTGTCCGCTTTGCTCTCTTCACAGGACGGGTCTCCACTTCGCGCTCCTATGAAGCAATAAGAGGGAAAATTTGACAGCTCTTGTTTGAGTTCCTTGTATTCACAAGAGGCATTATCCCACCTACCGGTGTTTCATCGTCCTCCACGGGCGGGGCGGGAGTGGGAGCTGTACTGACACTTGCACTTGCAGGCGTACTGGTGTTGATGAATGTCATAAGTATCGGTGCAGCGGGGATCTGGATAACAGGAGGGACAGATGCGGACGGCGTCGCCGCAGCTGAGGGCGGGGCCGACGGCGCGGGTGTCGACACTGGCGTTGGTGTCGCCGTTTTGGCCGTCGCCGATTTACTCAAGGTAGAGACAGCGCTGTGCGGTGGCCTTCCTCTCCTTGGCCTCGACTCTGGCTCAGGCGTCGGTGTGCTCACTGGCGTGTTCTCTACCTGGACCGCATTCCTACGCGATGCTGGCCCTTTAGCTGCGCCCAACGGCTTCCTGCCTCTTGGAGCCCGTGTAGGGGGAGACGGAGCAGAAACAGACGCGGATGTGCCCGCACGGCCTACCTCCATATCGTGAATAGCGATATCTGCGAGCAGTCCATTCCCCTTCTTCCGGCCCATGCCTCTTCTCTTCCTCTTGTTCGGAGCAAACTGTGATACCACACGCCGGAAATCGATGAACATCTTCTTGTGCAGATAGTAGTAATCGACACACTGCGCGGCGGTCTTGTGCGGGATGTAGTCTGCGATGATCCCGAATTGCTTCGGGAAGGCGGCAAACTTGTCGATGAATATCTGTTTCTCCTCTTCTGTCCAGTCGTCGATCCCTGTATGTGGTGCAAAGTACTCTGCGGGGTTTTCGACGAAGCCCGCCGTGTCGTCGAAGAGGTAATCGACCTTGCCGTTGACCGCTGAAATCATGTCTGGAATCTTTGCAAGGTTCCGCATGGACAGGTGGTTCGGGTCCGTTGCATCATCATTCCCTAGACTCGCGATGATCTGCTCCATCTCGAAATCTGAGCGGACAGCGTCGGTAAAGGCCGTCGAGCGACGCGTCGTCCGGCCGGTATGCTGATTCTCATGCTCTGAAGCTAGTGTCTTCTGTTGCTCGTTCAAAGCGTTACAGCGTGCAACCCATCGTTCATGCAGCGTCAGGTACTCCTCTCTCAGCCGAGCCACCTTCTCGTCGACCATCGCCCGTCGCTGCTCCAGGTACATCGCCAGTAAGGGCTTGGTTGCCGTCGCGGAATTCATCCGTTCCTTCAGACACTGTCCGGTGTACATTTTCTCAAGCAATGTATCAGGAGTCGCTGTCGGATGAACCTCTGGGGGAGCCGCTATGGCTTGATTAGCCATCAAGACTGGTTCGACGCGTTCCTCGCGTGACTGACGATCACGAAGCAGACGTGTCATGACTACTATTCGTAACGCTTCTTCCTTTGTCTTTGCCTCAGAAAACGGCGGTATGTCTTCGGGTTTCGGCAAAGTGGTTTGAAGTGGTGGTGGGGTGCGCGCTTTCGGAATAGTAGCCGCAGGAATCTCGGGAGACAGACTCGGACTAGGGGAGTGAGTTGTTGGGGGGATGAGGATGTCAGTGTCCATGGCATCGTTTTTGTCGCTCAATGACAGCTCGACCGGAATCGGGGAAGGTTTGGGCTGCGCGATCTCGAGGACGTTCGTTGGAGGCTTCACAGGTATGGGCTGTTGTAATGGGCGCTCGACAGCCGACACAACTGGAATTGGCTCCTTCGTGGGAGCCGAGGACGTTTCGGACGTAGCAAGGAGCATTCCATTTACCGCTGGCGTTCCCGACGGCTCCCTGTTTGTCAGACTCGGGCCTGGCGTGGGCAGTTGTATCACTTTGACTGTAGACTCTGGCAGAGCAAATGAGATAGGACTCCAGAAAACCAGAGGAGAGAACTGGAGAATGTGCTTCTTACCTTTAACCCTTCCATCCAGCTCCTGCGCATGAGCAATCACACTTGGTTTTACGGCAACATCTGCTGTAGATTCTTTTACGGTAGGAAGAACAGGAGGGGGCGTATCTTTGGTCTCAGAGCGAGTACTTTCCACTCTTACATCTTCGGCAAGCGCAAGTGGTTTCTGAGCCTCTGAAATTGGTTTGGGAAGAGTTTTGGAGGCACCAACAACGTTCGTCGACACAGCGATTGGAGGGGCACTGGCAGCAACAGGTTCCACGGAAGGAAGAGGACTATTTCTGTCTGACACATGGGTAGAAGCTATGGACGACCGAGACGGTTGCCTAGGAGGCGCTTCGCGTTTAGCAGGATCCAGAGACGAAGAATAAGTCCAAGGGACATTGTCGGGGTTCGGGGTTATGGAATCTGGACTGTGTACAGGCGATACTACTCGTGGGGGTGGAGACACTGCAGGCTTACTTGTCACGGACTGAGCAGAGTAAGGAGAGTGACGATCGACCGGACGAGAATGGCTAAAGGAACCAGAATTCTTCCTGAAGTGACTCTGAGTATTGGCAGGACTGATAGGTTCTCGTCGGTGAGAGGGCCAGCCACTATCTTGTGCAGGGCGATATGTGTCTGCGCGTCCCGGAGGAAAGGAATCTCGCTTTGGTGCAGGGCGATATCGATCACCACCTGGTATAAATGCAGGCGCACGGTCAGTCCTTATAGGCTTGTCCGGCAACTCTAAGTTAATTCTCGAACGCCGGTCGTAAAAGCGGTCAGCAGAAGGACTACGCAGTAAGTTAGATTATGAGACCATTAGGCATTTGGGAAGTGTATTCAACGTACGGATCGATTCTTGAAGGACGCTCAACGTGCGTCTGCTTCCAAGTCTCCGAAGGTTCAAACATTCTTGAAGGGCCATCGTCTCTAGAATTCCGACTTCTGTGACCTAAAGTAGTTGGGGAAGGAGAAAGCGGTTTCCGTTCGGGCCACACGTCTGGTAGTTCTGGAGGTGGTGGAGGTCTCCAGGAGGATCCACGAATCCAAACGTCAGGGTCACGTAAAGGTGGGCCATATGCATCGGGGCTAGGTGAACGAGGATAGTAGGTGGATGAGTAGTCAGGCCGGTAATTATTTGGCCTGTAGACATTCGGAGCATTGTCACGAAATGGCGGATCGGGACGAGGCGGAACGTAGCGATCATACTGCCGGGGACCTGGCGAAGGACTCCTGCGACGAGACATGGGATCCACTGGTCGCTATGAACGAAGAGTGCGATAAATAATTCGAGGCCAGATGGACATAAAGTGTGACAATACGAACGTCGTAGCCGGAGACTGCGAGTCCCGGCGGTCGTCGAGGATCCCATCGCGGGATAGAAGGTATATGAGGTGTATCATAACCTCCGGCAGACATCAGAAACAAAGTTGGGTTTCAGGAGCCGCCAGTTGGGAGAGACACCGCCCAATTGTTTGAAAGGACGGATGTGCAAGTCAATCGAGGCGATTAAAAGCCTCTCAAAGGACTGATGCTTGCAGAATACGTTGAAGATTGCAAGCCGGCGAAGAAAGTGGATGGAAGACTTGTAAAAGAAGAACGAAGGACTCTGCGCCAGCCAGCCAAACAAGTTTGTCCGTCCCGAAAATTTCTCACGTAGGACTATGCCGTTACATAAGCGCCTGTATGGACTCTCCTTCGACCAACAACGATGCTCCCCTTCGCGACCCGAGCAAGCTCTTCTTCCAGAAAGACTCCCTCCGACGCTCAATAGTAGCGTCGTACTGGATTCTGATTCTTCTTGCTCTTCCTCTATGGTGGTACACAACAAGTATCGAACGCCTCTCGCTGCCATCAAATCGCATTCAACAACAAGCAAGAAATCGACTTCAACTCCCAATTACAATATGTATAGAGTCCAATGACGCAGGCCTCATACGTCAAGCAGATCAGGAACTGTCGAATCGTATAACCCAATACCGGCAGCGATGGAAGGGCCTCGATGTTCGCGTTGTAGCAGTCGCAGCATCAAGTTGTGGTGAGCCTCCCCCCGACATTAACTCTGACGTGCCCCCTCACCTCGAGTATTAAAAGGATCCGGAAGCGATGTTTATATGGTAACCCCGAAAAGTGGATCCCCTACCATTGAAAAGAGGACCCTATTCTTTCCGTTAGATGAAGCTCGAGGTCTGCTTATCTCGTACCCCACCGACTTCTTCTCACTTCCCGGTCAACAGCTCCTTCTAGGCTCGCCGACACGTTGACCTCTCTTCTTGTGCCGTATACCGACCTCTCAGATCTAGAGCATCGCGTTGCCCAATATTCACCTCGGTACCGACTGGCTTTTAGCCTTTTGAATGAAGATGCCACAGCTGGGGACGCCGTGCTAGGCTGGAATATCCAACAAGCTTTAAAATGTGTGTAGGCAATTTCCCCTCATCCAGAATGAATTCTTGTTGACGATGAACGACCAGCCTATGTTAATCCCGTTCTTCGGCGTCTTGGTCCTCTACATAACTTCACCATTGAAAGTCAGGTGCAATTTCATGCACCATTAGGCTTCACTCCTTGGCAGCTTGAGAGTGTTTATGCCATAAACCCTGCAGATCTAACTGTTTTCGTAAATTCTGCCGACTGGACCTTGTGTGAGTAGTTCTCCTCTGGCTCTGAGCAGGCAGAGTTGGCTAATTGGTTCATAGCATCCAGCTCCTCCAATGATCCTGTTCTTCACTTTATTCTGTTCATACCCTCTGCGCAACGTCGGCCTCTTCGCATCCTGGACAACGATGGTAAGGTCAACTGATCCACATGTAACCCCGACTTCGTCTTACCCACATATCTAGAAACACTCACCCAATCAAACGCGTTCATCCTTCCGCAATGGGGCGGAATCGTGATCTTCAATCCAGAGAAACCTATAAACGGTGATCTACCACTCAAAGACCTTAATGTTGTCTTCTCTTCGTTTGCAAGACAAATGCACGGTCTTCTCGGTGTTCCTCAACTTCCTTCGGACGTGGGGCACTCTGGTGGCGCTTCAGTTATTTCCGATTGGCAGCTTGATGCTCTGCTACGCCGACGCACCTTAGAGAATGAGGCAGCTAGTCAAGATACGCTCCTTAGCATCATCAAACTCGTCGACAAAATTGAAAACATGCCAGTGAAGGAGGATGTTAGGGGCGATGTCGAGGGCGCCTTGAATGCTCTAACCAAGGTCAGCTTGCGGAGCTCTACCTTTATACAACGGATATCTCATGAAAGCAATCATAGATGCGTGATTCCTCGGGAAAATCACTGAAAGAGACCTTTACCCATTCTGCCCAATCCTTCGGTCTCGCATCTCGTGCTTTCTTCAGCCCAGGCATGATTGCTCTGTTGTACTTCCCGGCTGAGCACACATATGCGGTCTACACCCCTTTGTTTGCTAGCACAGTCATCCCCCTATTCGTCGCTGCTTTGAGGGAGACCAAGGCTTGGAGAAGAGAACGCCATGCGGCCAGCGCAACGACATGATGTTCATATGACGGCACTTGCTCGTCTGACATAATACACAATTCTTCTGGATGAAGCGCTCTCCAATGACTGATGATCCAGACTCTTCGCGACTCTACCTCCAAATAGCCCTACATAAGCCACGAAAAATAATACTCTACAAGCCACTCGCTCTAGAGCTCTCGCAAACAGATTTTTCGTCGGTCTCCATGTGATTTCTCTCTTCTCTTCGCCTTCACGTCCTCCTTTCATTCCTTTCCTTTCCTCGGCCATTCTCATTGGCGGCCACGGCGTTGGCCATCCGCCTCTTATCGGACTCTCATGTCATTGCGCCTCTGAGACGATGGTGACGGCACCGGTGGCGTCGTTTCTCATACCAAACGACGCACCACCTAAATGACTAAATGCTGCCAGCCAGGGCCAGTCTTCTCCCGCTCTTCACATGACCTTTGGCAATCCTTTCACGGCATCACAAGAGCGATGCTCACCACCCCTACCTCCACGCTCTGCACGAAGAAATGTATTGTTGAATATTAGTAACCCCTGCACGTGTACTGGCCCCTGGGTGAGCCGGCGGCGCAGCTTCTAAAATTTAGCTATAGGTAGTGAGTTCTCGACGAAAGCGGTACTCTGTCTTGCTTTTTGATTGTTCACTCCACTTCGTCATGTTTCTATTCTCTACGGTTAAATTTCGGCTTATCCTTCTTGAGTGTTGTTCAAACCCTGAGTACCTTGACGCCAACTGAAGGATCTCCTTGGAGGGATTTTTTCCATCCGTTCCAATCGCTTCTTAGGCAGGACTTTTTCTGTCTTTACGATGCTGTCGCTCGATGTTCTTTTCAGGGTGCAAAAACACCTTGACGGCTGCTAGAGAACCGGGTAGAGAAAGAAAAGCAAGGCACACGCTACACTACTATTATCATTGTCTCAGGCTCTGCACCAGTGGCAAACAGCAGCGTCCAATCGAGCCTTACCGGTGGTCAGCAGGTGAAGATCTATTCGTCACGAAGGCCATATTAATTACACCGCTTTTCAGGTGGTGACGTCTGAGTTCTTCTCTGTGTTCAAATAATAATAATAATAATATACACCGCCAGGACCCACTCGGGATCTACGGGACAATGGAGGGGAGGAACTATCTAAGTATCGAATGGTACAGTAGAACCAACAACAACAGCTTGCAAGCATGCCGGATGATCGATGAAAGACTCAAATGTCCGCCACGAGCAGTCGGAGGAGGTGGCGATCAGAGGGAAGTGGTCGAATAAGGCGCAGGTACGAGGCTTTAGATAGATGGTTCAGAGACGAGTGACGACAAATGAAAGAAGTACTAGTGTATTCGAGTGCAAACTTAAACTCGATCATTACCCTAACACAAGGCGTCATACGTTGCGGATTCTGCGCAAAATATGCGCGGCGTTGTCTGGTATAGAAGGCCAAGTTCCAATTCAGGGAAGCCGAAGAGACAAAAAGTTGCAAAGTCGAGGCATTTCGGCGGCAGTTTCTACTAAATTATGCCTGCAGGTTTTACGAGCCCCCACAACTTCGCTGATCAATT